GTATTAAAAAAACATAAAGAAAAAAGAAATTATAGCTATATTTGTATTGGTGCAGTACAGGTATACATAACTCATTTGCAAGATTTTGGCAAGGATGTTAAATGCTTGAGTTTTATTTGTGATATTAGACATAAAGAATTTTATGATCAAATAATTAGTGGTATCACATGTAACTTAAGTCAAGGAACGGTAAGCTATATATGTGAACCTAGATATTATGTGAGCTTAGAGGATTCCTTTGTGAACAAGTTTTTAGCTATTAAGTTATTAACAGAAGGAGTGAAAATGCATAAAGGAACACGACCCATACAACTAAGATGGAAGGTGTTTTATAAGTTGGCAAACACTATAGACTCATCTTTTAAGAAACAAAGTCGATGCCCAGAAATATGAGCAAGGAGGAGTACCTAAGAAGAAAATTACACCTATAAAGGTAAATCCTAATGAAATTGAAATTGAAAAAACTTGGGAGGAATTCTTTATGGACCCTGCAGTTAGTAATAGATCAAGTAAGATGTTAATTGATGAATCAGGATTACTTCATATTGGAATGAATACAAAACCTAAAATACAGAGAAATTTGAGTCTTAGAACACCAAGTCTAAGTAGACAAAATTCAACAATAATAAGAATGAAAAAACAAGGTGATGAAAAGCCAGAAGAGGATGAAGAAGAAATATTAGTTCTACTAAAGAAACTAAATGAAAAATATGAAAGTAAAAAGGCCTTAAAACAACCAGCAAGACATAGCATTGATATGGGATCATGTTCTAGTTTCGAGTTAAATGAAGATCCAAATAATCATATTGATAAAAGGAAGGTAATTGGATATAAAATCAAAACTGTGAGTGAACCAGTATATGAAGATGAAGTTAATATGCAAATGGAAGCTCATAATGAAATATCCAGTAGTAATCCTAATAGCATTTATATTCCAATTGATATATGCATTGAGGATTAAAATAAATATAAATTATGTGCATATATTGATAGTGGTTGTTCTACATGTTTTGGAAAGAGATCATTATTTCCAGAATTCTTGTGGAAAAAAGCCAAAAATCCTATGCAAGTTAGAATTGCTAATAATAGTGTCATGATGCATACGGAGATAATTGAAGATTTAAAGATAGAAATTGGAGGAATTCAGTGTGTTATTCCTATTTTATGGGCAACTGATCAGCCTAGTCATGATATGATAATAGGAAATAATTTTCAAAGGTTATACTCTCCATGCACTCAAACTATTGATCAAATAATCTTTACTATTAATGGTCATTCTGTTCCCATACAGAAAATAACAAAGGCATATACTCATCAGACAATGGAATTTACGCACAGCCAGCGTGGTGATAGGGTTACTCCTACACAACGAGAGGTTGCACTTAGAAATTCTGAGTGTGATTCATCATTAATATATCAGATAAATAAGCAACAAGAAAAACTATGAGAAAAATTATATTCAACAAATCCTTTAGAACATTGGGAAAAGGATAAAGCATTTGCTAAGATAACTCTAACAAATCCCAACAAGATTATTAGAGTGAGACAAATGGTTTATACCTACCAAGATATTCAGGAGTTTGATGAACAAATAAAAGAACTACTTAATAAAGAGCTAATTAGGAATAGAAAAAGTCCTCATAATAGTCCAGCATTCATGGTAAGAAATCATGTAGAAGGAAAAAGAGGTAAAGCTAGAATGGTTATTAATTATAAACAACTAAATGATAATACTGTTTTTGATGGCTATTATATTCCTAATAAAACTGTGTTATTTAATAGAATACAAGGAGCCACATGGTTTTCTAAAATGGATTGTAAAAGTGGCTACTGGCAAATTAAAATGGAAGAAGAAAGCATTCCATTAACTGCATTTAGTGCCCCTCAAGGGCATTATGAATGGCTAGTAATGCCTTTTGGATTAAAAAATGCTCCACAAATATTTCAGAGAAGAATGGATAATATTTTTAGAGAACTTAATCATTGTTGTTTGGTCTATATAGATGATATTCTAATATTTTCAAAAGATTTAGAACAACATAAAAATGATCTTAAAGCAGTAACTCAAAAATGTGCAGAGCATGGTATAATCCTTGGAAAGGATAAATGTGTTTATGCTAAACAAGAAATTGAGTTTCTAGGATTAGAAATTAAAGCTGGACAAATAATACTACAAAAACATATTCTAGAAAAGATTGAAAAATTTCCCGATAAAATTGAAGATAGAAAACATCTAGAAAGGTTTCTAGGGTGTTTAACCTATGCTTCTGATTTTATAGAAAAACTTGCTTTATTAAGAAAGCCATTACAACAAAAACTCAAGAAAGAAATAACTTGGAACTGGAAGGAAAGTGATTCCAAAATTGTTCAAGATTTAAAAGCTATGTGTAAAGATCTTCCTGTACTAACACTACCTACTAGTGAAGATGATTTAATTCTTGAAACATATGCTAGTAATGAGCACTAGAGTGATGTGTTAAAAATAAAAGAAGGAGAAAGACTTTGCAGATATAGCAGTGGAAGTTTTAACAAAGCTGAGTTAAACTATCCTACAATGCAAAAGGAAATCCTTGCAGTTATTAGAGGGATCGAGAAGTTTCTAATCTTCTTAGCCCCTAAACGGTTCTCAATAAGAACAGATTGCAAAGGCATACTCGGTTTTGTTAAAAAGAATTTGTCTAATATGCAAGCGCAAGGGAGACTCCTGCGTTGGCAATTATGGCTTAACCAATTCTCTTTTAATGTTGAACATATACAGGGAACAAAGAATTATTTGGCAGACAGCTTGACCAAAGAATTAGCTAATGTCGTCCAAGAAGCTCAAAGACTACACAAAAACCTCCTGCATACCAACTTCAAAAGATGGATGTAGAGAGGAAAACTCTCATTGATGAGACCGAAAAGGCAATGGAGCGGGTTTCACCCTCCAGTTGGGCCTTAATGCAAGGCTTGATCATATCAGCAAAACAACATTCGCGAGATGGTTTAATTAAGGGTTGCCATCGGGCAGTCCAAAGGTTATTGATGTTCGAAATAACAATTATGTTATTTCAGCTCATTCCTGATGTATGAAATACAATATTAAACAAAATAAGAGATAACGATTTTAGGACATGGTACGAGTTGATGGCTACAAGGTCCAGTAAATTCTTTGATCGAGATATATGGGGAGAAAGAGTAGAGTTTCCCAAAAACTCTAAAGTTGCATCATTGCGAATCTACCCATATCCTCTTAATAAAAATGCTCCATTCATTAGTATACATTACAAGGCTTGGGATTATGGAATGGTACATGATTTCTACGAATTCCCTATGCCTAATGACTCTTTCTTTCCAAGACTTACAAAGTTCCAGCAGTACGCATTCAACAAGGTTCGAAAATATTGTGATGACAAAAAAGACGAATTTCGGTTAAGCGTAAAGGTACAATGTGCTAATATTGAAGTTAAAGAAGGAAAAGTTAGTCCCCCGCATTACTTAATAGTATTTGGGGGAGTGAGGTATTGCAAAGATCCCATACTAATTCGTCAGAAGACTGTTAGAAATCCAACTGAAGCAAGAGCATTGGGATTTTTCTACATTTCACAATATCTTAACGATTTTATAAAAAGAAAAGAAATTCCTCTTGTCATGTTTCATGTCGGTAACACTACAATTGTGGCGCCAAACGAGATGAAAGAATATTTAGTAGATGACATAAACAACACCGAGTCAATCTACAAATACTTAGAAGATATCGAAAGTGGAAAGTTTACGTCATTTGAAGGCTATGAGTATCTGTTTGAAGCATTCATGAGTTGGGATGAAGAATATTCAGCCAAATGTGTCGCAGACCTTTGTAGAGAGAATCCTATTTACGAAGACAGTAAAGATAGTGAGGGAGGCCTACAAGAAATGATGATGGATGAAATTATGAATGCTTGAGCCCACACCAGCAATAATGCAAGGAATCTTCATTGTAGCCACGTTTTATTAATTGTTTCTGTATCTTTGTAAAAAGCAATGGTGTAAAATTGCTTGCTGAGTCAGGATAAGGATCCTATGTAAGTTTGCTTCCCTATATAAAGGGACTTAGGCCAAGAAGTGAAGGCAGAGTTGGAAGAGTTAGCTAGAGAATTACTCTGAAATATTTAGAGAGTCCTCTAGAGAAAAAATACTCACCTTAAGAGAAAGATTGGTTCTCCATCTCTCTTAAAGTAGAGAAAACTCTAGTTCAGCTTATGTCTGTTTAAGCTTTCAGTTTGTGTGTGTGTGTGTGTTGTAATATATGAGTGTTATAATCTTTTCAATTTAAATAAAAACTTCGTTCAAGAAGGGAACGTTATCCCCTTGAACCTTATATATCAAATGAGTTATCTTTCCGTTTAAAAAAGTTCCATCATAAACACAGTAAGGATTGTTTAATTAGAGTTTACGGTCTAAGGTAGGAAACGAATTAGATCTGTGCTGAGCCTGATCTAAGGAAGACAAGGTTGGGGTTAGCTACCTTGATAAAGCTGGAAGCTCAGAACGCCGGAGGTTCCATTGTCGACTAAGTTCAGGTATTGGTCAAAACTCTCTAGTTAAAGAATTATTATTGCGAAGCATGGTGGACTATTAAACTGTTAAAAATAACTTATTTTGATGTATAAGTAGTAGAGTTGTGATAACTAGTATCGTTAAAAGTCATTAATCGAGAAACAAGTAAACATCAGTTGATATTAGTATATAAATAGGCTCGTTGGTATTGAAAAGGTGTTAGATAGTATCAAAAGTAATACCATCTAAGAGTTTGTAGGTATCAAAGAAGAATATCATCTAAACTTAACTTGGTTATTGTTGGTATACCATCCACGTTAAAATCAGTACCAAACCACTACAAACAAACGTGTCGGTTATAGTATATTTGGTCTCCACTTGGTAGAGACCAAAGTGGTATCAAGTAGGTAGAGATTTAGAAATCCTCGTATTTTTACACCAAAATCTGTTTTCATTATCCAATTGCTCAAAGTAAACTGAAGGATACGAAGAAGAAAGCAACATCCAAACTACCAACGTTGACTAAAACACAATGTGTGAAATTTAGGGATTTTTTTTTTCCAAATCCCAAAAATCCAATCATCAACACACGCTTTTCGGTGCAGGCGTTTGTTGGATTGATTATTACTTGTATTTCAGTAAAAAAAAATCGCACATCTTTGTTCATTCTCTCTCCTCAATTTCTTATGAACATTCCTTTTTTCTTGTCCAAATATATTTAACATGTTTTGCTTCTTTTGCAAAATTATAATAATTGATTTGATTAATCGTGTGAATGTTTTGTATTAATAATTAGTAGACAAAAGGCATCATTTTGCTTCAATTTTGTTTAGTGTTTCTTTTTTGTTTTTATTTTTTAGGGACAATTACACCTTATTTCCATTGGATTTGAGGTGGACGTCCTATCTTTGTAGAGTGTTGAATTTCCCCCTTTTTTCCGGGCTCTTTCTTCAAGAAAACAATAATCCATTTTGCAAAATTTGTTCTTTTCTTCTTTTTCTTAAAGAATTTATAAATGGGTACATAGTATATTCATCAATTTACAATTTTTTGTGGGTGTTTGAGGTGACAGTTGAGGTGATTATTTCTGGTTGGATATTGGGTGAATTATGATGATTGGGTTGTTGGGTATTAGGGTTCTAAGATTTTGATCCCTATACGAAGAATTGTGGTGGGTATTGCTCAGTTTTTGATATTTTGGAGGAGAATTGTGATGATTGGATTTTTGATTAATTTTATTTGGAAATTGAATACTAGGGTTCAAAGATTTTGATCCCAATATGAGGAATTTTGTTAGGTGTTACTCAATTCTGATGATTTGAAGGAGAATTCTAAAATTGGTATGTAATCTTTTACTTCATGAAATGAAACCATATGTTATACTTCGTATTTGTTTAATGATTTGGTTTGTTTGATTGTCAAAGAAATCTTCTATATTTGGGTAAGAATTTTGAGTTGCCTGTTATTTTTGGTTGTGAATTGTGATGCATCTATACATATTGTATTATAGGGATTCAAATTGAAGAGAGATCAGCAGTAATTTTTGGTCGTTACACCAAACAATCTCGTACCTTGATGTAAAAAAAACAGTTCGTTGGTGAGTTGTTAGTTGCTTGTAGAAAATAAGGAGGCAGAATTACTTACTTGTACTTTGTTTATGTTATCCAAATTCTGGGATTCTGGGATATTTTAATGATGAAGAACAAGAATAACAATAATACTTATTGTTGTTAGCAACCTAAGGTGAAAAAGGAGGAGAAATTGGTGGTTTGTGGAGTAATTTAGTTTATAATCTTCTCCTTCTACAGGCAATGAAGTTCTTAAGCATTGTTGGAAATTCTTTAGGCTGCTCTGCTTCAGGAGAACGCCTGGTTTCGGCTGCTAGAGATGGTGATTTACAGGAAGCCAAAGCGTTATTGGAGTACAATCCTCGTCTTGTGAGGTATTCGACTTTTGGTGTTAGGAACTCCCCTTTGCATTACTCTGCAGCTCAGGGCCACCATGAGGTAATTGATTGCCTCTCAAGAATTGTAAAATTCGTGTGTGCTTTTTAAATATGCAAGTGTTTGAGACTTTGATTGATTTGATGGTTAGATTGTTACTCTTCTGCTCGAGACTGGTGTTGATATCAATCTTAGGAATTATCGTGGCCAGGTAACTGCATTATCTATGATTATTATCATACTCTTTAATCAGTTGTAATTCTCAATAGTCGATAGATTGTATGGAATATCATTTCAACTTGCTTGTGAGGATCCTACATGCTAGTTCTGTAGGAAAGAATCCTGGTTATCATTCTTTTCATTATGTTAAAACTTGATAAAAATGGCAGTATATAGTTTTTACAATGCACAGTTATTCATGTTAGATTAGCTATTCAATCTTCTGTGCTGAAAAGAAAATACGATTTGATATACAGACTGCTCTGATGCAAGCATGTCAGCATGGTCATTGGGAGGTTGTACAGACTCTGGTTCTTTTCAAAGCCAATGTATGTTCACTTCTTCTGCTTTAGGTTTTGGGAACTAAAACAGAATTAACTACTTTTAGGAGTGGGTGTATGCAAGTTAATTAATGCTCTGTAGTTGTTTGAGATGTAGATTCACAGAGCAGATTATCTTAATGGGGGTACTGCTCTTCATCTAGCTGCTTTGAATGGGCATACTCGGTGTATTAGGCTCCTTCTTGCTGATTATATCCCTAGCATTTCTGTTACTTGGAATCTATTACAAAAGAAATCAAAAAATGAATATGGAAGCTCAGAGTTTAATGCAAGGTATTATGGCTCAATAGTGCCTTCATCTTCTTGTTAGTTTTCCAAACATGAATATACTTTATTGATTTCTGTGTTCTGCTTTCCTGGACCAGTGCCCTCCGCCAAGTAATTAACAAACCTGCGGATGGAGGGATCACAGTACTTCATATGGCTGCCTTGAATGGGCATTTTGAAACTGTCCATCTACTTTTGGATCTTGGAGCTTCTGTTAGTGAAATAACTGTGGAAGATGGGACTACAATTGATCTCATAGGTAAAGCTATCAGAACTCCTTTCTTTTTCTTCAACTATCGTTAAAATTTTTGTGCAATTTGTTACAATAGCCAAAGTCTGCAATTTGTTTGCTGAATTGGATCTTAAGATTGATGTGATCGCGGGGGTGAGGCAGGTGTAATAAACTGACCTTAGGAGGGACATTATGGCTAATCTAATATTATTATGTTAATAGTCTTCAGATTTATTATAAATAGAGATAGACGAGGAAGGAGGCCAGCAGAAAGTCACTATTTGGAGAGTGGTAGCATAAAGCTACCGTTGTAAAAAATCTTTTGGCTTAATCTTAATCAAAGATTCTATCTTTCTTTCTAACTCTTTTTGATAAATCTCAATTTGTGAGCTTGAATCCATTTCAGCAGGGGCCTTGGGTTCTGATATACATAATTGAGACTTCTTTCATTCTACCAACTCATGCCTTTGTTTCTTTGTTCAAGTGCCACAACTATATTTTTACTTAGAGTAGTCCTTAGGTGTGGCCTTCCACCTAAAAATACATGTATTCCGTGACAGGTTACTTAAAGTGCAACGATATGAAATTTCTGTCAGTCCTGCAGATCTTATGTAAAATGAAATAACATAAGTTATTTAGTTCTTAATTGTACAATCTGATGTCTTAATTGTGTATGCATAGCATCAGAGTTTAACCTGCATATGCTTTTCATAGTAGTTATGTTCTCAACAAGTTGGGTTCAATTTATTTTGCAGGTGCAGGAAGCACTCCTCTACATTATGCAGCTTGTGGTGGAAATCAACAGTGTTGTCAAGTAGGGTCCTTTATTCTAATTGAAATGTCTAATTTATGACATGTGCATCACACGGGTTGTATCAATAGAAAGAGTGGAGAAAGATGATAAATATAGTGAGGGAAAGGAGAAAAATAATTGAAGCCTTTGAATCGAATGAGATAAAATAGGAGAGAGATACAAAATAAACAACTAGTTATGGCTTGATATTCATTTTTTGATAGAAAAATTGGAAAATTTAAGAGAACGACACATTTACCTTTGGCCCTTTGGGTTTGTGTACTAGGTATAGTTTAGTTTTATATTGACCTTGGCCACTGTAATCTGACTGATCTTCCGAATTAAACTTTCCGTGTTTCAGCTTTTGATTGCGAGAGGTGCCAGTCTGACAGCTGAAAATGCAAAAGGGTATGCGTTTCCTTTGCCATCAATCTTCTCATTGGTCTTGTGTTTTTACTACTTAAATGCCTCAAAGCCACCTCTTTTTTCATCAAATAACAGTTATTGGTAATAAATTATAGCTAATTATACACGAATTATGAAGTAACTCCATTATCTATCTGTTATAAATGAAAACTTGTGTTGGTTGACCCCCCTCCCTCTCTTCTGAGGCTAGTATCATTACTCTATTATGATGGTTAACGTGGCTAATACTTGTGATCAGTGGCGGAGCTATTAAGGGGGCCTGGGTGGCACCGGCCCCCCCATTTTTTTTTTATTAATTTATTAAGTTAAAAGTTGTAAATTAATAGGTTTAATACAATTTTAATGCAATAAATAACATCAAATTAGCTTTGTCATAGTGGTAATGCATTAAGTTTGATGAAAAGTCTAGGGTTCAAGTCTTCATACAAGCAGTTTATTTATTTTTTTTATTTAGTGCCCCTCCACCTTAAATATTCTACATCCGCCACTGCTTGTGATACAAGGAGAAGATTTTTTTTTTAAAAAAAAGTACTGAGTTTGACAAAGTCTAAGGTTATACCAAGGACACTCAAAAGTTTTAAATGTATCAGAATGGAAAGCCAAACATCTGAAAGTTGTGACTTCAGAGTCACTGACTAGTGACTACCTGCTGCCACTAAAGTTATTTTGTATATACACTATACCATTATGGCTTGATTAGTAATGCAAAAATTGTTTCGTTGAATGTCTTATAAGCGATCAATGTCGTCTGGTTATCTAGAATTTGCTTGAACAGTAATAATAGCTGTCTGATCACCCATCTTTTTGGATAATGATCAATGACCATGTTTCCCTTAGTTAATGCTTCTATGCATCATATGGGATAATTCTGGCCGTAGATTTGTTGCCTTTATATCTTTAGGGAGACTACAACCTCTTATGTTGCTTCATCTCCTTGAGTACCTTCATTGATTTGCATAACTATGTGTACTTTTGATCTTAAGTTCTTAACAACTCTTTGTTTCAATGCTGTACACTTGAATCAAGATCTAAATAATGCTAATGGAATGAGGCTTGCATCTTATCTTTGTTGTCTCTATCTGTTGGTCTAATGGTTTGTATCAGAAATAGTCTTATGCTCTTTGACTTTAGTGACTATGAAAAATAATTAAAAAATAAAATTTTCTCTAGAGGCACAGTTTACAGCATAATGCAGGCTCTTATTTATTAATTTGGTGGCTCTATCTTGAAGCTACATTTTGGAGATCACATATCATATATTAAATACTTTTATTAACTTGATCTCTTGACTTGTTAGATGTTGCATATGCGTATTGTGAAAACCTTGTGAATGTGAGTCGGTTTTTGCACACAATCTTGTTTACTCAGTAAACTAATTTTTTGTAAAATATTCCATTTTTCTGCATGTTGTAGATGGATTCCATTGATGGTTGCTCGTTCATGGCATAGAGATTCAATTCTAGAAATTCTTTCAACACCTCAAGACATCCTATTACCATCTATTCCTTCCCCTTTTCTGTCTCTTCCCCTGATGAGCATTATCAAAATTGCAAGGTAAGCAAACTTCTGTTTTGGCTTGGGGGTGCATTTCTAACATTTAGGTCTGTGATTTGGTAATTCTTTCGGTCTGGTAGGATTCTAGAAAATCCTTATGGTACAAGGTCATATTTTTTGACTGTTAGCTTTGTACTTGCATTATCTTGATCTTGCCTTGTACAAGAGGGCTACGCAGGAAACAACCCGCATCACAAATTTAAACCCCCTATCCTGATTCAGGCATTAGTTTAGACTATTATGGCTGTTTCCAGATGCTTAGAAGTTTAGGGCATAGAGGGGCTAGAATGTGACTTGCTTCAAGGATATTTGAGTCATTTTTGTGAAACACGCTAGTCAATTTTGATAAAATAATTAGTAAATGAGGAATTAATAACATTTGTTGACCGCTTATGGACTTTTCAGCATCAGCTGTTCATTACAGTTACAGAAGATATGGTCTGGCGGAATTCATTGATTAATATTTTAATAAGAGGATTTTGTTGAGTTAGTAAATTAGTACTCTTAATCAATGTGTAGGTTACTTGAATATTTCTCTTCATAGGTTGGAGATTATCTCAATATCTTGCAAGTTGAATTTGTAAAACTTCCTTCATTAGTGAACATACCCAATTTATTGTCTTAATAAGTATTACATTGCCTCTTTCTTACTCCGTACATGACATGCATATCCCTCGTGTACGCTAATGTTGTATTTGAGTATTTCCAATGAACCATTTCTGTTTTTGGCCTGTTTGAATTGTTGGCGTGACATGCTTTATGTAATTTGAACAAGCAGAGCTGCAGAGGGATAGAATATATCGACTGTTCCTCAAACAATTGAGCTAACAGGGTAATTATTAGATACCACACTGTCTGTTGCCATTAACCAACTTGAAACCAATTAACTTTTCCCATAACCATTCTTAATCCTAATCAACCCTCACCCTTCCCCTTAGACTCTTCTGTGTCTTTGATAACTTCGGCTGATGGTAATTAGTGGAATTGATAGACTGGGGTTCAATTTTAGTGTCAAATATTGTTTACACATTTGAAACTAGATTTTAGTATGCATTAACTGTGAAAAGCAACATAAATAATAAAGAAAATGGAAGCAGAAGTAAATAGGAAAACAAATTTTATACGGAGTAATAATGTTATAACTACTGAAAAGGTAATGGAACCAAAAGTAAATCAAGAGAGTTTCAAATATTTGTTGCATTGAAATCCATAAAGATTCTAAGTGAGAGATCTTTTAACTACTACGTATTTCAACTTTTCAGATCTAGATACATGACCATGATTTCAGGCTAGTTCTGGATATATAAACCCTGAACTTGGAGAGTTTGTTCTCCTCTTCCTTAAAAGATAGTTTATCTGAGGGCTAACTCATTCCCTTTCTTTTTCTTTGTGGTTCACAGAGACTGTGGTTGGCGAAATCCAGACTTGGTACCAGCATGCCAAGATCCTTGTGTGGTCTGTCTTGAAGGGAGGTGCACTGTAGCTTCCGAAGGTATAGCATCAAGTTTTATTTGTCTTTGTTGTTTCCAAAAGTTTTTTACCATTTGTTTTTCATTATTATTTGTTAACAGCTCTTTGAATCTTTGACCTCCATTCTACCATTCTAAATTCAATCTTAAGTAAAATAAAATAAAATAGTCTTTATTTTCATCTTCATCTTAACCTGGCTTAAATACAATGAATTTAATGGATTGATTAATGACATTAATCCATATTATTTGGTGAGAGCAAAGTGTATGAATTACTGGACAGTTGAACATTGGTAAATGATTTGCATCTTAGAAAGCTAGAATAGTGATATGAGGATTTATGAGCTACATTAGACACAACTTTGATTGACACTTTGGTGAAAGTCACCACCTTGTACATGCTCTAAGAGCAATCGTGAATGACTGAACGTAGACAATCCATGTTTTATTTTCTGCTCATGGACTATCTTTTCTCTTTTGATTTTTTTGTGGGAGTTACATAAATTTTTGGATGACAAGCTTATATCTACATTTTAATAAATCGAATTTGCATTAGTTTTGTCCCTGGGAAAGAACCTGTGAACATCAATGTAATATATGTTCTGTACAGGTTGTGGTCATGAGTTTTGTGCTCGTTGTGCGTTATACCTTTGCACCATGAACTGCTCCTCGACTGTTGCCAAAGGTCCTCCAGGCTCAATCCCATGTCCACTATGCCGGCATGGCATTGTCTCATTTGTAAAACTACCCGGGACAAGATCCATACCCAAGGAGATTGGGAGGACGAGCTTGTCATTGTCTTTTTGTGGGTGCTCATGTGAGAAAAACGAGCGTGCCTCTCTGACAATGCCTCTTTGCATGCCACCTCCCGTCTCTTCCACCTCCAGCCGAGTCTCCCCTTTAAGTTCCTCATTCCGTTCTTTGAGCTGTCAAAGGTTTCCATCAATGAAACTCAACTCTGGTTGCTGTATGGGAGGATCAGAGACTAGTCCCTCTATCATTGGAGGGCCCGTGAACCAGAGTTTAAGGAATCAGTTGGGTAGGTGCGGAAGAGTGAGATTACGTCGATCATCATCTCATTCCGAAGGCCGCAAATCTTGGTTTTGTTCTCTCAACCAATATGCTGCTGCTAGTAATTGATTCATCCTTCTTTTTGCTATATTTAGAGCCAATCGACAAAGCACGGCCCGCTCATCTTAGCCTGACACGGCCCATTGTCAGCTCTAATCCTTTTTTATTCTTTCCTATTTCCTTACAGAGGCATGTCTTGTGCTCCTTTTTTTTCCAGGTTTCTTGTATTAGTTGTATAGAATTTGATATTGTAATCCCCAAAATTCTAGAAAAATAGAAGGGAAAATATAAAAGGTCATCTAATATATTCATATGTTGTAAATACTTGTATTGAATACTCCTTGTGTAAAACTTACAAGAGACATTGAGCTATATAAAAAAAGACGATTTTGCTGTGTACAAGGCAAAATTACTTCAATTTTTTTGGATATACCACAAAATCCCTCAAAAGTAGAAATATTGAACTTTTTCTGCTATAAATAATTAATTATTTCAGGAAATGTGTTAAAATAAGGAAATATCCCAAGTGAAAACTTTCAGTTTTTTAAGTTTACAAAAGATTGAACCTATTTTCTGAGTTCTGACAATCTCTTTCAATATTTTTTTTTGAGGGAAATCTCTTTCAATATAGCTGTATAGGATTTTGATGTTACATTATCAGTTTAAAGGGTTAAGGCGTTGGACTTGAGCCATGATTTCTGCCAGTCAAATTTATTACTATATTGGTGCAAATCATTTTTTTTATATATTTTTTTTATTTTTTTTTTGGCTACGAGTATTAAAAGTCAAAACCTACACATGCATTTGGGAGATAACACTTTCATTGAGCAATTTGTTTCACACATTCACGCCTATCACAAATGACTTGTTTCACCCCGTTTGTTGTAGCCCGATTTGTTGTTATCCAATTTGAATCATGTGATCTAAATTCTCTAAATTTATTTAACTAGATTATTGATTATGTTATCTGAAAGAGCTCATAATAGACGGGATATGACTTAAATAAAATCGAGCTAAACCAGATAGGTATGTTTGGATTGAATATGATCCAATTAAACTCAAACTTAATTAAATCGAACCGGAAAGCGACTCATCTTTGAGTACGACTAGAAACATACTTCCACCATTATTTCTACAAAGATCATGAATCAATACAAAGTGATTTGACTAAACCATCAAAATTTCTCAAAATTATTTATGACTTCCAAAAAAAAGATTAAATTAGTAAGTAAATTTTCCCATAATCATAAATCTTTCTTCTGGTGTGATTTGACAGTCGGATTTTAAAATACATTTGAAGTGATTTTCCTAACCAGAAAACATACATTCTCATTCAGTCATTCATTCCTTTATACTCTAAACCACTCAGTAACGCCATGCATCCTACTAAATGTACACCATATACCAGAATTAGATGTAAAAATTAGTTCTTTACCCCTGTGCTTTAATTTTTTCCGCTGAATTTGGATAAATTAGTTGATGGTTAGATATTACCAATACAATTTAACAAAAAAAAAAAAAAAAAAAAAAAAAAAAAGATATTACCAATACAATTGAAAATAACAATGGTGCTTGTCTGCTTGATTTAACAAGATTCAACCGATAATGTAAAATAAAAATATAAATCTCATTAATTCAATTTCGCATTTTTCTTATTTAATAAATGCCATGCATAGGATTACATAGGGTACAGTATAACAAAAGACCTAAATAGACAGTACATACTATCTTTCAAACGAAAGAGGGGAAAAATTATGAACATGTATATATATCTGCCTATGAAGAACTAAGTACAAGTTCGTGAATACGAAGCATATTACAACCTCAACTCTGCTTAAAAATTACATGTAATCTTACAATAACATCTCAAGAAGAAGCTCAGAAGGGACAGTCAGCCAAAATTAGTATGGGAGATTTGATTAAGATGGAGAGAAAGACAAACAAAAGGAGTGGAAAGAAAGGTGGTTATGTGGAAGAAAAAACATAGAAAAAGCCTTGCAAGGCCAAGAAAAACACGTGATAGTCAAAGAGTAAATGATTACCCTTCAACATGAATGTGCAGAATAAAAAGAAAATGCTGAGAGAAAAGAGATCACGACACTAAAATAAGTAAAATAAGAAAAACAAAGAAACGATATGTGTGGAAGGAAGCTCAGCAGCGATAGCGCCTGTAGATGGCTTATTCAATCTTCATTGGTGTGAACATAAACAATGTTGCTCTCTCTATTTTGGTGACAGCAAGGAGAAAGCATGGTAAGAGTAGTAGTTCAAAGGAACTATTAGTACCCTTAATAGGCATATGAAAATGAAGAGAAACTTGTATCATAATGTTGTGAAATGAAATGATAAAATAACTTAGTTGATGTAATATTGAAGAGACTGATACATAAATAGTTAAATTACTCGTATATATATAGGGAGAAAGTAAGATATGAAGGTAAATAAATAATTGTGAGCTACAATTGCTGACATATATTCCAAATAGGTGTAAAGGAGGTTTTTGCAATGTACTGACGAAAGCTGAAACAGTAAATAGATATAGTTAACCGTAGTAATTGAAAGCCAAATTTATGTAAATTTACTGTCTTTTGAACTAACTCTAATACGGTAAATAAAAACATTAATTGCTTGTTACTTATTTTATGTAAGAGTTTAATTTTTATCTTTCAATTCTATGGTTATAAATTTATGATGCATGTCTAATTTAATTTTATGGAGTAGTCTAGTTGTGGTTGCTTTAATTTTAGGGATAGATTCGTCTATTATCCTAATACCTTGTAGATTAACCATGTATGGGTGTGTTCGATAAGATTAAATATTATCTATTTTGATACTCGTAAGTTGTACATATTAGAGGTTGGATATTAAAAGTGTTTTAATATGGCTAATGGCTAGAATTAGATATTTTGATAGCAATTAGCCAATTATACTAAACCCTACTTAGATGTTTGATAGCAATTATACTAAACCCTACTTAGATGTTTGATAGCACTTATACTAAACCTTACCCTTGTTTATCCTCTATATCTGTCAACCTCTTTTATAATAATCGTTGAGTTGACATATCCAGTAGCATCGACATATAGTGTAACGTAAATTTATCCTCTTCACGTTGATAATCTCTTATTGACATTCAAATTAAGTCGTTAAAGTATTTGGAAATTGGTAACCAAATTGCATATGTACCCTTAGGGGAGAGCAAACCGGGTTTCCGGTCAAAATTTTAGGATCCAGACTTGGAATTGGTTGGAATCGGGTCCTAAAATTCGGATCATCGGGTATTGGAATTGGTTCAACCGGGTCCTAAAATTTAGGAATTGGTATTGGAACCACTGGATACCGGTTCCGGGTACCCACTTATGTATGTAATTGTTAAAATATAATACAAATTATAATTCTTATTTTAGTGTTCATTTTTAGCGTTAAATACTTATATTTATATTTGCATTAAGCTATTTGTATTTATGTTAGGTATTAATAATACTTTTTTAATTTACAAATTAAAACATATTTTTATCATTTAAAATTTGTTTAATTTAGCATATATTAGGTAACCGGGTACCCAACCGGTTTCGGTTCCAAACAGTTGAGAATTGGAATTGGTTATAACCGGGTCCTTAATTTATTACCCAGAATTGGAACCACCGGATCCAATTCCGGTTCCAGACCCACCGATTTCTAACCGGTTCCGGTTTCAATTCCGGGTATCCAGAATTTTTGCTCACTCCGGTACCATAATGGATATAAGTTCATAAAACATTTAATTTGAATCTACTAGTACCCCATATTATATTATAGTATTAAAGTGTATTAAGACATTGGAATAAATAAGATAAAATGATTTTTACAAAAATAAAAATGTAGTAGCATACTAGCATTACCAAAATTGTAGCAGAAGAATGAATGAGATGTCAATAGGATTATATAGGGAGAGTGATGTGTCCAGAGAAAAAAAAGGACAGAAGCAAATTAAAGGCAAAGTCTATAATGTGACTGAACGAATTAAAACAACAGGTCTGATCTGATAAATGATAAAATGGTGTATCTCTAATCTCTGTATCACATCTTTTGCCTTCTAACTCACGTTACATACTACTCGTAGAGAATAACTTAGCAGAGTAGTGTTTTAGACATGATGCATGATTCCCATCTACGGGAGTACAGTAGAAGAAAATAAGATCAAGGTTCCGGCAAATATATGCGATATGAATTAAACTTGACACAAAACGTTTAATTAAACAAATTGAATTAGTGTTGAGACTTTCAACACAAAAGTAACACAACTTAATAATCTGCAAAGGGAAAAATTACGGAGTACCATTATTGCCGAACATGATGATAAATCTTATGAACGAGCTAGAGGCTAGCAATTTTAATACGTACAATATGATAACATGACACAAACCGAACTACCAAACATGAATATAGTGAGTTAGCGCAACTGCGCAGGTGTTACCGACACATTTAATTCAATAGGTCAACTTGACTCTACACATTTAATTGTTTGTTAGTGTTGAGACTTGAGACTCCTATACCGATTTAGCTACGTACACGAACCCAACATGACCTGACAAAGTTTGTCAACTCTTCAAAATAATGAAGTACTATTACTTCATCCAGTTCATAAATAATTAGTTTGCATGCATAAAAATGTTATTAGTTCAAATCAATATCATCAATATCAATATATATTATTAAAACTCATGGCAAAACATGTTATTTTACCATATGTCACCAATTTTGCCATTTGGCATATGATGTGACGTAACATCATACCAGTCCATTAATGATTGAAAAACTCCATGCATTAACCTTCATATATTAATGTTTAACTTAATTGAAACATTCTTCATATGCATAACACCCTATTTAAATTTCTCGTGGAATGTAACTCCTTAATAATTACACAATAATAAATTTGAAAGAAATTAAACATTACTCTTTCTTTTTTTTTTTTTTTTGTGCGCATTATGGAGTAGTATATACGTACTGTAGTATATTGAGTTATTGACATCAAATTTATACATTGATTTATCACTTTTTATTTTCTTCACAGCTGATTGATTTATCATTTACACTATATTTATTAATGCAAAAAGTATTCTTATAGTCAAACCAGTTCATACAAGCAACAAACTAATTAAGTTGTCGTCTTTAAAAAAAACCACCACATAAAGCCCTCACTAAAATAAGCCAAAATATATATAGTTCGATTAAAATAATAAATTTATAATGACCCAAATTTATAATGACCCAAGACATCGCCCGGACCAATAACTAGTTATATAACAATTAGGCTTGGACAAAAATTAGAAAATGCACTTAATTATACATTAATATATATCTCACTTTAATTGGAGATGTAACAAATTTTATTAGTATAATATTGTATTTATTGAACTTTTTAAAGCTTTTGTGACGCTCAAAATGGTGCTTTTACAAAAACTTATATGATCAAATTCAATTTAATTTTAGGGTATGAGGTATATTTTGGTATTGACTAAGATTTTTTTTAGTATTTGTCAAGATTAATTGTCTCCTGTTTATGAGTTGGTTGAAATAAATCCTAAACAATGAAGCTTATTAATATCTTACTACCTTTGTTCTTTTATGTTCTACTCACTTAATTACTAATTACTTATAAATACGCAACTTTAGAAATTGAAAAAGGTGAATGAGTATAAGATAAAGAGAAATTGTAAGAAAGTCTGATTGCATAAGATAAATATAAATAAAATAAGAGAGTATGAGAAAAGGTGCAATTATGAAGTAGAAGAGGTAAGATGGTAAAAAATATACTACCTACGTTACAAGTTATGTGCAACGATTTGATATAAAGCAGAAAATGAAAATGTCTAATTGTTGCACATAACCTGCAACGGAGGTAGTAAAATAAAACACCTACCCAAGTCTGAAGTACGTGCTGCTTAACATTACGCTGCCTCCCATCAGGAATTGGGAAAAGAACCATTGGCTTAGATAACCCTTTCTCTCTAACTCTAAGAATTAGGTTAGTGCCTCAATCTTAAAAGACCTCTACACACCATCCCTTGGATAGTTGGCAGACGAGGATCATCCCATCCATCAACTCTTTCATTATTCACAAACCACAGAAGCTTAAGCCAGTTTAAAAGTGTATAGGCCATACTCAACCTGCACATTATGAGCATATCCTAAACCTAACCAGCAATTACAATTAAGGTTGAAGACAACAACTGAAGCTTTAAATTATAAACTGTAAAGTGAGAGAAGGAGCTCAGACCTCATCCAATAGAATGAAGAGAAAAATTAAAGCTAGAAAACTTAAAACCCCAAAAGAATTGGAGATCGAATGAACAAAAGTAAATTAAAATGGGTATAATTCAACAGCAGCAAAAGAAGTCATACATATTGAAATCAAACGAAAATAATCAAGCACAAAAACAGAAAACCAAGTAATAAACAAAATTTGGAATTACAGCACAACTTTACCTTACACAGCCTCCCATCTGGAATTGCAAAAGGAACTAAGTTAACCAAGTGAAAGCGGGAATTCAGCTGCAGAAGGTTCAACAAGTTACGAGAATGATAATCGTAGTTAAGATGTGAAAATTGTGTAAATCCACACAGATACACATCTCACAAAATCAATGAGTTATACCTAAATAAAATATGCTAATCACAGTCGAATATTTCTATTATCTGGACTACCAACAAACTAAAAGGCTACTGGCAAATCATTTCTACTTAGCAGTCCTATAATATCAGTTAGGAAATAACACAAATGTTCCTGATATTAGACACCCTTAAGAATTCTGCAACTTGCTACTTAGTCCTTGGCTCCTTGCAAGCACAATCAAACAAGTTGTACTCTTATATAAACTTAGAGGAATTTTCTGCATACCCAAGTCTGAAGGAGGTACTGCACAACATTACGCTGCCTTTCATCAGGAATTGCAAATAGAACAACTGGCTTTGAATGTTTCACAAACGGAACATCGTATCTGATGTAACCCATTCTCTTTAACTACATGAATTGGGTTAGTGCCTCAATCTTAAAAGACCTCTATGCACTATCCCTTTGTTAGTTGGCAGACGAGGATCATCCCATCTGTCAACTCTTCCATTATTCACAAATCACAGAAGCCTAAGCCATCTTAAAAGTGTATAGACAATACTCAATATCCACATTATGAGCATATCTAAACCTAACCACCAATTACAATGAAGGTTGAAAACAACTGCAGCATCAAATTATAAATTGTAAAACGAGAGAGGGAGCTCAGACCTCATCCAAAAGAATGAAGAGAAAAATTGAAGCTAGAAAACCCCAAAGAAGTGAAGATTGAATGAACAGGAGTAGATTAAAATGGGTATAATTTAACAGCAGCAAAAAAGAGTCATACATATTGAAATCAAATCAAACGAAAATAGTCAAGCACAAAAACAGAAAACCAAGTAATAAACAAAATTTGGAACGACTTTGTAAGAGCCAGAAAAGTCCTAACGCCGATCAGTTTTACCAATGGAGCGCTTCCCAGAGAAAAGATGTTTAGGTTTGAGATTAGGAATGACTCTATCTCCTTCTCCCTTACGAGCATCCTTGTTCCTTTTCTTGGCAGATTTTTTGGCAAGATTAATAGCTTTGCCCTTCTGGATTGAGTCCTTGAATCCTTCTCCTGGTACAAGTTCGCCAATTGGTGGTCGTGATCTCGACCTAGACCTGGATTGAGACGCAGAACGCATTTTCTTGTTGGATTGCTCAGTATCCATATCCATGGCATCTCCTCCCATATCTGGTGACCTCTGCCTCTTCCGACCCCTTGACTTGCTACGAGCTCTGTCGATTGCAGCAGACGGGTCGATGCCTAGTTTTGATAATTGCCTACCCATTCTCTCGGTTGTAAACTTCCTATCCTTGTCAAACTTCCTCGGCACAATAGGTCTGCTCCCAGCAGTGCTCTTTTTTAACCTGTGTTCTTGAATGAGCAAGCTTTTCTTTCTCCTGATTTCTGCCAGTGCCTCTTTCTCTTCTGCTGTCAATTCTTCACCATCCATCTCAAAGTCTTCCTCAGCCTCATCAGCAAGACGAAGCCCTTCTTCTCTCTCCAACTCTTCAAGTCTATGCAAGATATCAGGATCAACAAAATCATAAACATTGTGCCCATCAAGAAATTCTGGCATAATATCTTCTTTCCATTCATCATCTGCCAAGATATAATGCTTCTTCAAGCTAGCAGAGTATACACCAGCACCACCATTCTCATCCTCCAACTGCCTTTCAGTTATTCTTTGTTCCTTCTCCGCCTTTTCCATTGCTTCCTTGGCCTTGGCTTCAAGAGCCCCGGGAGGTATGCAAGGTGGTCTTTCCTTCTGGTCTCGAGGCTTTGGAACCGCCACATGGAAACGGTTCAAGCAGTCATTTATCTTCTTAGACTTCATCTTCAGTTCAACCCTCTGATCCAACAGCCTGTCACAGGCCGCATTCTTCACTGCAATAACCCCTTCTTCAGTCAGAGTACTCATGGTTAGAAGAACTCCCTCTTCAGTAGCCTCGCCTCCCTGGCCTACCACTGTTTTCAGAGCCTCAGCTTTCATTTCCATGACCAGCTTCTTATCTTCCTCAGGTATATTATCAAATGACTGCAAATCTGTCTTGTTGCACACTATGATCAATGGCTTATTCATGAAAAGAGATTTGATACTGTGGAAGAGGGCAGCTTGCTGGGCAATAGTATATCCACATGATCCTGAGATGTCCAAAAAGAAGAGCACTGCAGCTCGCAGATGTGCAAGAGCAGTGATACTGCACATCTCAATAATATTCCTATCTTCAAATGGTCGGTCCAGAATCCCAGGGGTATCAATCACTTGATACCTCAAATACTTGTAATCTGTATGACCCACAAAGAGTGATTTTGTTGTAAATGCATACGGTTGCACATCTACATCAGCCCTAGTAATCTTGTTCATGAACGAACTCTTCCCCACATTTGGGTAACCACAAATTAAAATTGTTCTTGTGTTTGGGTCAATGGAAGGCAACCTTGCCATATGTTGCCGAACTTGCTCAAGATAAGCCAAACTTTGGCTGATTCGTTTCATCACAGTGCACATTCGACCAAGAGCAGCAACTTTAAGGCACTTACATCTGTACAGTGAATCACCATACTTCAACAGCTTAACATAATCCTTGGAGATCTTTGAAATCAGATTTCTAGCAGTATTCACTTGCCCAAGAGCAAGCTTGTAATGATCCTTGTTGTAAAGAACATGGAGGAGATCACCATAAAAAGGATGGATATCGTCAAGCCTAGGGAACTCGTCAATAATAGCTGACAACTTTTCCTGAAAATTCTGTTGTGTGTATTTCACTTTCCGCATGTAAAACTGCCTAAGCCGAGAAATTGCATAACCTTTGTGGACAACTGTTGGGGTTTGTCGTTGAGTTCTAGATAGAACAATGTCTATCATTTCTTTCCCATTGGGAACCACAGTTATTTTCTTAAGATTATACTGCACCATTTTTACAAGCTTCTTATCAACCCTGAAGATAAAAAATAAAATCATATGATGGTTGAAATCAAAATGTTCACTATAGATTATAGAATAGAAAAATAAACAGAACACACATGAAAATCGAAAATCTGATTATTCCAGGTTTTTCACTATAGAATAGAAAAATACATTGAACACACATGAAAATAAAAAATCTGATCATTCCAGGTTTTTCAATATAGAATAGAAAATTAAACAAAACACACATGAAAATCGAATTTATCCAGGTTTTTCACTATAGCATAGAAAATTAAACAGAACACACATGAAAATCTAAAATCCGATTTCATTCGAGGTTTCTCACTATAGAATAGATAATTAAACAGAACAAACATGAAAATCGAAAAATCAATTTCAATTTAAGGTTACTCCTCAACCTCCACACTACGATTGACAAATCAAGAGCTCTGAAATCCATTTACCCCACAACTTGAACCATGGGATTAAAAATAAGGCAAATTTAGAATAAATTTGTACAAAGTAAAGCCTTACTTGAACAAATAATCTACTTGCAAACACAAAGATTAAAACTTTACCTAAAACCCTGAATATTTAGGGTTTAAGAGGGACAAATAATTTAACCAAAAATATAGTTTTAGCACTTAGACTATAACCATGTAACACTTTTTTTTCTTATCAGATTTCGGAGAAAAGTTCCATTTTCATAGCTCAGATGATATTACAGGAATAAAGGTTTATGTAAACAAATAATTGCAACCAAATTTGACTCAGTTTTCAAATTAAACTATTCTCACATAATAATATGAATAGCAATGAAATTCAAGCTATAATCCTTCTGTAATTACAACCAATTATTCAATAATCAATCCACCTTAATTAATTAAATTAACGATTAACAGTACTAGAGTGTAAAATTGATATTCAATTATTACAAAGAAGAAGGGGAAAAAAAAAAAGAAAGAAAAACATACCTCAGAAGTTGCTTCAATGGAGGGGAGAAAGCTTGGAGTGAATGGTAGAATCAAGAGCACAATGAAGAGGAAACGTTCTTCTGTATGTTGTGTGTATTGCCTAGCGGCTGCTCAAGTAGGTTAAACAAAGGCTGAGATTTTTTTCGGCAACCAACCTAAAATGATTTTTTTTTTTTTTTTTTTTTTTTTGAAAAATTTTTTTTTTTTAATAATAAAAAGTTAATTACTACTCCCTCCATCCCCAAGAAATTTAATTAAATAAATAATATTGTGTATGTATTGTAAATGATTTTAGTTCAGTAAAATAATTTCATATATCAATAAAAAAAGATCAATAAGTTTAAAAAAGAGATACGGAGTATAATATAAAATCAGTCAAAATAAATTTCAATTCACCAAAATAATTTTAGTTCATTTAAAATAATTTCAATTGAACAGAAATAAGTTGAAAAATTTAGCCTAAATATCAAAGTTAGGGGAGAAAATACAAATTTCTCACAGTGAAAATAATCTATGTTAATCAAGTGGCAACTTGTGTAAATAATTTGTGTTGGATACCGTGTCAAAACATTAAAATATTGCTACATATCCACTTGGAAATAAACCTTGGGTGAAAGGTTAACCAAGGGTATTGGTGATGAGTAAAAAGACATTGACATCTACATGTCAAACGTTATCAAGATGACGACTAAGCAAAAGAACTATGAACTTCGACCTTCGGCCACCAAGTTTGTAATTCGTTTGTGTGTAATTGAACTGTTTTCCCATTTTTGTTAGTGTTGTTGGATTTTGTTTTGGCAATTTTGGCAAATTGCAACATTAGCCACACTAAATAAAATAACCATTGATAAACAAACCTAATTCAAAAGCATAAATCAAACAAAATAACTTGACTATTTGCTAACAATGTCGAACCATCTAATTAATATCCAAAAAAGTTTAATCAATCAAAACCAATCTCGACTGCAATGGATAAACCACTGAACGAAGGAAAACTCAAAGGTTAACTATACCGTTATTTCTCCATATGTTATTAAGGTTTTTGTCTTACCGCCGAAACTGGTGGTGTTGGTGATGTCGAAGCAGCTTGAAGATGGGTTGGAGGAAGATGATGAAGATGGATGGAGGAAAGAGGAAGCAACTTATGTAATTATGTTTACTTGTTGAGTTAACACCAATAAATAACTAGAGTTGAACATAGTTAACTCAAGCATCCTACAAATTACATACGTAACCTTTAGTAAGTCGTTAAAGTTACTTATATTGCCCCTTGATAAACAACATAAGGTTCTCAACGTGAGCTGAGAACCCGAGCACAGCTCAAATTATAGTAAATATTGGGTTAAAAAAATAAAAATAAAAAAACTAGCTTATACATTTTGCACATGAAACGAGGCAAGCATTTGTGGCCATACAAGTACGTCCCATTGGACAATAATTAAGCTTCATGCCCTGTTTCTTCTACTCCTCAATTTGAGTGACGACATTTTTTTGCTAAAAAAATAAATTCGGGTTGTATCTCACAAAGTAAAGATTGCAAGAACTATATTAGTGTATTACAACTAGAGAAGTAAGAACTTTACTGCACTATTTTCACATAATTGTAGTGTCTGACACCATTCAAAATTGATTGTGTTTGTGTGTTAGGGTTGGTACTTAATGTGGTTATGATGTTGCATGATTTTGTGTAAGGTATGTTAAATTATGTTGAAGTTGCAATTTAATTTGTTGCGTGTTAAGTTCACTGACATCATAAAGAATATGTCAATTTGTAGTATAAAATTTTCAAGCTTCGAATTTGATTAGGGGTTGTGAAAGTATGAGTTTGAACCAAAATAGTAAATGGACAATACTTGACCTTATAATTTGAGTATTGATAATTTGGTTGTACTTTAGTTGCAAATCAACCCTGAGTCTCTGTCATTATAATACAATCAATTAATATTTTTTAGGGTTACAAATATGAACGACTGATAAGTGGTTTATTTGACCACTTACAGTGTTGATTTAAATCCAATTTTGTAATCTTTTCCCCTTTTTCTAACCCCTTTTTGAATGAAAATGTTGTATCTTGGCTTCGCCCTTTCTTTGCTTGTATCTGTCCATGTTTTGCAGGTACTATATCTCAATTTGACATGCACCCAAAGCATGGAGTAATGTTCAAAGCTTGAAGACAAAGAAGGGAGAGCCCGCTCTAAGGGGAGCGTGTGTGCACCTCTCCTGGAGCGGGCGCTCCTCAACTTCAGCAACAATCTGCCCAAATTCAGTGCCTGTGAGGAGCGGGCGTGCTCCTAACCAGGAGCGGGCGCTCCTACCTTTGAAGTTGAATTATGCCTATGCTGTGGAACAGGGGAGCGGGCGTGCACCCTGTGATGAGCGACCGCTCCTCCTTGACACTTTCAAATCTGACTTTTCACTGATGCAACTAGAGAAGGCGTGTAGTAGAAAGGAGAGAGCACTCCTCGCTGGTAATCCGTTTTATTTTGACGGATTTCCCTATGTCTTTCGGGGAGTATAAATACTTCCCCTTTAGCTCATTTGTAATGACTGAACAATAGCCTAGTTTTCAGAAATCTCTCTTAGTTTGAAACATTCCTTTTAGTTAATTTAGCTTAGTTTTCATCAAATCAAATCATTGTATTAGTGAAATTCAAGAATTATTCTCAAGGTTTGGCAATTTGTATTCAACATTTGAAGCTTCAATTAGTAATTTCTTCAACCTTCTTTTACTTAATTTCAGATTTTATTTGGTATTTATTGCATGTTACTTGAATCCTTTTAGTTTTTGATAATTCCTTGTTGGATGATAGTGAATTCGATTGTTCACCACTTTTCCCCAATCATTGAAGTAGTTAGAACCCTAATACTTGTTTGCATGTTGATGAATATGAGTTGTGAGTAGTCTTCTTGCTAGGGGTTGGGTGAAGCTCAACTTTTTAGGTTAATTATGCAAATGTGGGAGTAACATTGATGTTTGTATTGCAATTAAACTGATTGTATGAGATTGCTTGTTAGTTCTTCGTGATAGGATTAACTACCCTTGATCTAGGAGTTTGATAGCATGATATGCTTAGTTTGACATGGAAATGTGAATGAAGCATGACATTACTTATTGCAATTTGATTATGTATCTTCTATTGCTAAACTAATGAGGAATCTAAGTTTAGTAGTGTGAGTTGTTTCCTAATTGCACGAGGTTGATCTTACATATACTCCTTGCTATATCTTATCTATTTTACTCCCCGTTTGTCTAATTGCCTTGGTTGAGTGAATCCCATTCCCTAGTGTCTTTAATACATCGTTTTAGAACCATAATTTGTTTGTCTGCTTGACGAACCCCCAATTGACCAAAGACTTCGATTTAGCTGAAGTGTAAAGATCTTTAGCAACCATATCCCATTCCTTGTGGACCGAACTCTTACTTGTCATTATGCTTGGTTTGTAGGATGTTTGTTTATAAGTGAGTTTGATTGAGTGTTGAATGTCCGTCCGTTCTAACGCCCATCAACGACCTAAACCAAAACTAGTTATGGAGGGTTTGGAAGCTCATCCTATCTATTTTTACAAATCAAAATTTTGATGCTCGAGATCTTCCTGAAATTAGACTATGGTGGGGCAATCAATGTGACCAAAGTGTGCAGCTTTCAAAGAAGAATTTGGATGATTAGACCTGGATTCCAAGACGCGTAAGGAAATGTAACACTTATAAAAATACATCCGTAATTGAAATGTGTAACATTAAAAAAAAAACACTGAGCGAGTATGGAAGATGGTGGAAGACATATGGTATGGCGCAATGCCATTGACATCAATAACACATTAAGTTCATTAAAATATAGAGAAATTAACTAAAATCTCTTGATAATGAAGGGACCCTACTGATCTGATACATTTTATATTTAAGGCAATTCAGCTCCGCATATCAACACTTGTGAATAGAGGGCTTACCCTCTCAAACAACAAATATAATTAGAGGAGGCTCAAACTCGTAACCTCAAGTCCTCAAGGACATAAGGTAAGTTCCCCAGCTGTATTTAGAGCCTGTTGTAATTTACTACTACGTAAATTAAACTGATAAAAGAAGAAAATTAGAAACTGAATCAAAGAGAACAAGTCCTTAACAGGGGCCGCATTTGGTATCACCCTTTCCACTTATAAAGTTATAAACAAGGTTATAAACATGTGCACCAAGCCACCAACCCAATCTAAATCCATAGGACAAAAAGCTTGGTCGTTTAGAAAGAGGGATGAAAATGGCGACACTTCCACTCTCTTCCTCTTCCGTCAACTTTCTCTCCCCTCTCCTCTATTCCTTCACCTCATCACCACCACTGCCTTCATCCAACCTCACTTTTTCTCTCTCTTCTTCCCGACGCTTCACCAAGCTTTCGGTTTCGTCGTCAGAAGTTTGCGACGCTCCTCAACAGCCGTTAATCGTCGATCAGTCTGCACTCCTCGTCGAAGAAGCCGTCTCCGAGGATGCGCTTTGGGCTGCCGCTCGTCTCCGCATTCGAACTTTTAACGAATATAAGGAGGATTCTTTTGGCCTCGAGGTGAGCGTAATTTGTAATAATTATCATTGTTTTTTGAATTTTTGTTGTTAATTTACTGCATTTGGAACTGGAATTTAGTGTTGAGTAATATAAATTGATCAATTGTTCTGTATTTTCGTCTTGCAAATTGAATTTCATTAGAATTTGGAATGCTTTGTTTTGATTGAAATTGAAGTGTTTTGGTTGAATTTGTAATTGTGTGTTTGAATTTTTGTTTGAATTGTGTGATTCTATTTTATAAATTTTTAGTTGAAGTTGCAAAGTTTCTGTTTGATAGGATTCATAGGAATAGGAATTGCTTTGAATTATGCTAGTCACTTTCAAATGTTATGCTGCTTGTCACCACATTCGAACTTTTAACAAATTTTTAGAGGATTCTTTTGGCGTTGAGGTGAGCGTGATTTGCTATCGAGCTTTCGTCGCTAATTTAATGAATTTGGAATAGGAATTTAATGTTAGGTAACAAATTTTGGTCAATTGATTGGTGCGTTAGACTCTGGCTTCGAATTTTATTAGAATTTGATGTGCTTTGTTTCGATTGAAATTGAAGCTTTGGTGTTGAGTTAATTTTGTGTTTTAGATTTTGTTTGAATTGTGTGATTCTGCTATAAAAATTGTTTGTTGAAGCTATAAAATTAGCTTGAAGTTGTAAAATTACTACTTGATAGGAACTATAATTAGACTAAAATGAGGCCTAGGATCTGTTTCATACTGGTTAGTTGGTTGATAAGGAGTTAATTGGTGCCAGCCTTATTTTAAGTATGATGCGAAGGCTAGGGTTTTGAGCAAGCATCATATAAATGCTATCTATGTATGTTATTCATTATGATCCCCCATTTTTCGTTGTCAATGATACTATGTATTGCTCATATCATGTTTTATTTGTCAAGTTCTTTAGGATCATAAGAGGTACCTGGCTGAGCGAGAGTTCGAAGTATTAAAAGAACGTGTTGCAGGCAAAAGGGAGGGTTTCAGAAAGGTTTCTTGCATAAATGCCACTCTTCCTTTGTCGCATCTATCGGCCTTGTCCGGAGATCTTTGCACTTCGTGTAAGGTATGTTAGCCTTCTTTCTAATTGGATTTCTGTTTCAATTAGTGATATTACTCCATAAAAAAATTTCCTTTTCTGGCCCAATGGAACTTCTAGTGTCCATTATGGAATGTAATGAATTTTTTGAAGGCTGGCTGTAAATCAGTTGATACACTTTAAATAACTGTTAAAGCCCACTTCAGTTTTTCAATTGATGTAATTGACTTCTACATTTTTTTTCTTTTTATGACCGACATTAATGAACTATGGCTCTGCACAAAAAATATTTCGGAACTTGCCTTTCCTTTCTTTTGTACAGAAGCAATTTTTCTTGGCATAGTATGAATTATGGTCATAGTCAAGAAATTAGACCCTCCACACACATATTTGGTTCCTACTTCCTAGTGCATGTATATTTTCATTTTTTAGGAATGAAATAAAGTATGAGAAAGGCCATAGGAGAAAATTTTGCAGCACCTCTCAGTCTTAACATATGTGACTTATAAGTTCCAGCGTCTTATTTGGAGGCATATTTAATATAATAATTAGCTGAAATAGAAATATCAAGTGCAAGAAAAGGGGTGTGATTGGCTTACAAACCTTTTGTAACTTGTATCAATTTTGTTGGCACTTTGGACAGTTAAAACATTGTAATAAAATGGTTGGCTCCTGAGACTCATTCTTGTTAGCTTCCATTTCAGTTTATTAGCAAGCGAATAGTTGCAATTTGAGAAGATGATTATAGGAGAGCACTCAAGAATCTACTGTTTAAATTTTGAGAAGTCCACAACTACCACCTCTCATATCCTATTGGATCTAATCTTCCATCACAGATATTACATTTATATCTATATCAAGTAATAAGCTGAACCTGGCAACTACCCTTAGACCTAGCTCTTTTACAGCTAATTTCAAAGACGAAAATCCCTTGAACTCTCCCTCTTAATCCAAAGCAACAATGAGTTGCTCATTACTTCTCCAAGGTACATACTAGGCGTGCCTTAGCTTGGTTACCCTGAATACCAAATTGGAGAACCTTTTTTTTTAAAAAAAATTATGACTTACTAGTTGATAGGCTTAATATTCTCCATTGCTCTCTTGGAATTTTTTATCAGATACTTCTATTGAACCAAAAGCTAGTATGTCTAGTGTACCTCAGAGTCCAGTGCTAAGCTATCATCTCAATAGTGACAAATTAGGTTATTTTACCTCCTAAATGCATGTTGAGCACTGATCATTACACATGCCTTGAAATTTATTTGCTGGTGTTCTTGTTGTAACTCTGGCAGTTACCTAGTCTAGTTGAATCATCTCCATGTGTCCATTGTGGACATTGTGGTAAGTACTTAGATTTTATGAATTGAGTTGTTGAGTTTGGAGCTTATCAACTTAAACTGCTTTAGGATCGTAGGATTGTTTTTGAGCTTGAATTGCTTGCTTTGCTACAGTGTCATATGACTCTTGACTTCTTTGGATTTTGTAAACATAAGAAACCTATCCTCATATGTTAATTGAAGTCTTTAGTCTTCTTGCAGGGGTTGACTTATGCTTATTGATGGCCTTGGACACTTCTCTTATTTTAGTTTATGATTGAGTAGGGAGGGTCAATATTGTTTCCTTCTAATTGTGAATAGGATGAAATATGTTTGTTTGGATCGGGATCCCATGTTGGATTGGTGAGGGGAGTGACATCGAATCAATAAACTAGTTCGTAGAATCGTATGATCCTACAAAATTGATAAAAGGAGTAATAAAAAGGTTTCTACATAACTAGATAAACATTTTTAAAGCAATAAAAATGCTAAAAGTTATAGTTGAACTGGTTGGGTAGTAATTTTCTAGGCTTAAAGAAAAGATAGATTGCTTTGGGCTCATTTAATATGTAAAAATGTAGGATCAAATGATCCCGACTGATTTTATACTATTTTGACCGATCCTACATGATCCTTACAATCCAATAATAATCCAAGTGAAAAAACAGGATCCTATCGAATTGGACGATCCTACCCAATCTTCGATCCTATAACAATCCTGCTTGTTTTGCGATTCTTCATCCAATACGGATCGTTTGCCTAAATTTGGATGGTGGGTCGCACAATCTAACGATCCGGATTGCGTGTCTAACATTGTTGTTTGTAAATTTCTGCTAGATCTTGGGGAATTTAATTCAATTAACATGTTGTACAAAAGATATGGTTTGAACTACTCAGGGTGATGTGCTATATGCCTATATGTTTTCCATCTTCACCAAACATGGATGTGCTTATTCCTGTACATTATCATTACTCATTTGGTGAATTGAGGCTAGTAGCCTTACCCTTACAGTAATATAGAGATTGCCCAATACAATCATTATTTGCTACATCCTTGTCCCATAATTAGTAAGATATTGAAAATTCAAAGAAATAAGGGAACTTGTATGTACCGCTTTGACATTATAATTTTAACCTACATATATAATATGCCTGATTCCAATGCAATATTAACTATAATTAGGACAGCTAGTAATAAAAACTTTTACTAACTCTTAAGGATGGGAAAAAAAACTTCATCATCAAAATTTCTGTGCAGATAGTTAAATGAGACATCATATTTGGTCCATTAATTTTAACTGGTTATCACTTATGATCACACATGACATGCAGTGTTTAGCTTATGGTTTTCCCTGTCTTACTTTTCTCTCTTGGAAAACATGTAAAAAGGTATATTTTCATCTGATTTTGTGGTCAATGATAATAGTACTCTGATGATGGAGGATCTCGAATTGTGGTTGGGACGCTTGATCTTAATCAATGTCTGAGGTTACCTGATGAGATGACAGGGATGAAGCCACAGGTATCTTGAATTTGTAATTCTCTTTAGTGTTGTGATGAATTGATGATATATCTCCTGCTTATCTGAATAAACAATGCTTGTATATGGCTTGCCGTTTCCAACATTTTTTACTAAAATGAAATTGATTTTCTTATGTTTAATGGTTAGTTGTTTTTTACATTCATTTGTTGGTTACAGGTAAGCTATCCTCAAGTGTGCTGAATTTGTGGTTTTCTATTCTATGGGGTTGGTTTTCTGTGAATTTTCTTTCATTGTGGAGGCTGATTTTTGGGAATTGTTTGACTCTATACAGTACATGAAAGAAATAACCTTGTTATTTGGGGATTAAATCTTAGTTTGCTAGAGGGAAAAGCAAATTTTGATTTTTATGTTAATTCTTTTTACATTTTGGATACATGAAATTCTATGGCAATGAAAGAACTAAATTTGTTCTGATTTGCTGAAGGAATAAAGAATATTTTGCATAAAAAAGCAAATTGAAATGTGTGTTATTTGGTTCCAAAACTACAAAATTGAATAGTATAAGGAATCTGGAACACATTTAGATATAAAAGTTTGAATTAGGTAATTTTGACTTTCAAATTGCTACTATGCTAGGTGTTGAACTATGCAACTCTTTCTATCAAATAGTTAATGAAAAAGCTTACTTTATAGATGCATACTTAGAAATAACTCACCCAAAATGAATAACTAGTACTTGTATTGTAATTAGGCCTTCATCTCATTTGATGATCAAACTTTGTATTGTAACTTGCTTATCTTGTGCCCTAGTTACTGCTATTAAACGTATCAATTTACCAGTAGAAATTAGCACATTTCATATTATATCTAGGAATATATAAATCTATATAATGTTATGAAAAAATCTTGATTATTTCCCTTATGTGTGTAGATCAAATAGGATTTTAAATCTTTGCATAAATACTCCTTGTTTTTTTTAAGTGAAATGTTTTCCCAATAATATTTTTAATTATCTATAAGTAAAAATCATAACAATTGAATATTAATAGACTATTCATTGAGACAATTGCAATAAGTATTTACAAGAATATATTTTCTCTTATGTATAAATCACTAAAATTAGTCAAAGTGGATTAGGTTAATAGTGCAAAAAGTCTAAATGTTTCATTTGAAAAATTATGCAGGTTGCACAAACAGTTAATTTCTTTGAATAATTCTTCTTGAGTTGTCTTTGGAGGTTTATAAGAATTTTGAATCATTAATTACTCAACATTCTAATGTGAGTTTGTTGTATAACGTTCACACCACAAAAATATGAAAGACAATCATTTAGTGTTAATGGCTTTATGCAGCTCTTGAGTAATTAGTTAAACGCACACTAATTCTAGGCTCTTCATGATCATCCCATATCTGAAGTCTGAACTTATTTTACCTCACCTTCACTTTTTTTATTTTAGTTATGAATGGATTTTGTAGCCCTTATCCGAGCTTACCCAATTGTATATGAACTATTCCTCTTGAAACTTTTGCTTAAGGTGAAAAGGGATAGAGCCTAAATTTTGCATCCTGATTTCTCAACATCTATGGATGCTATTCAGTTTTTGATATGAGAAATTCCTTATTTTCATGCATTTGGATTTGGGAAAATTTGAAACTATATTTTGTCATTAAATAACAGTGGAAAGTTTTGACATGACTCACAGTCTCACATGGTCAACGCTCAGTTTTAATTGGAACATCTCGAAATTAAAAATTTCTAATTGGTCTCTTCTCCGTGGCATGGTCACATTGACTCACATATACAATTGTGGCTGCCATAGTGCCAAGTGGATCCTAATGTTAGTTGATGTGTATTTTTTATATTGAGTTATTTGATAGCAAACTTTGTGAAACCTAATCCAACTTTGCACTTGCCAGGGTATTGGTGCTGATTTTTTGAGGGCTTATTTGAGCAATGTTTGTGTAGCCAAGGAATTGCACAGGAATGGATTGGGTTATGCACTCGTCTCAAAAGCAAAGTGTGTTGCTGAAGAATGGGGTACCGTCTCTGTAACTGATGGTTCAAGTTTTAGACTTGATGGATGTTTGACAAAACGGGTCATATGTTAATATTTATTTAATTGATTTTAGTTGCTGAGATACCACTTTGCTTCCTTGTTTTCTTACATGGCTTCATCAAACTACCAAAAAGAATCAAGGGAAAATGAGAGAGGGATGAGAAAAGAAAACCTTTATCACCTGTTGATGTATTTCTATTTTGTGCCTGGCCTATCTGCAGCAGTGCAGCTGAAGAATTTCACTTTTGAGTTATTTGGGGTTTTGTTGGAGTTTGTAGTTTCATATGGATGTTAGAGTCTCTTGCACTTACTACAAGGCAGTACTCTGTTTAAGCTTTTACTGTACCATATAGCTCTTTGCTCATATTGTATGAGACTTGGAGGCTATCTCCTCCATGCTGTGACTGGGATAGTATCCTTATTACTTTTTCTGTTTTTCATAAATGGCTTAAGGGTGGAGCATTGGCTTCACAGGATCAAGTTTCCTTGGGTTTGCTGGGTAATAGAATTGAGTCATTGGGTAGGGTGGACATTGTGCTGCTGCTTAGAACTCAGAGGACATAAAAGGCTTCCTTTCTCCTGTTATGCAAGTATCTGACAGATACTTTCTGGTTCATATATTATTTCAGACTACCTTTTTCCTCCTTAAAATGCTGGTAGAGATTTGAACATGATGGTTTTGGATTCTATGTAGTGGTTTACTTGTAAATTTGTAATAGCGCCTAATAAAAATAAAATTAATATTAATTTTAATCCTCTCTTCTTCTGGCTACACTGCTACAGTAACCATAATTTCAGTTTCCAGCCTTCTTTTCTTGAAACTAGATAAATCAGAAGAAACTTATGTTATGTGACTAAGTTAGGCCTATGAAGCATGGGTATGCCATCCAATAGGTGTATGAAGCATGGGTATTGATTAATAGTTTACTGATGCATAGTATGTGACTAAGTTTATTGATATATAGGTGTAAGCTTCTCTAATTAATTGATATGTAGCTTATTGATGTATAGCTTTTGACTAAGTTAGGCTTATGAAGCACGGGTATGCTTCCTTCCCGGGACAGGTACTGGTGGTTTATGCCCAAAATACATACAATGGGTACAACACATGTGAAAATGGGGGCATCTTGGGAATTGGGATGGCTGGGCATTTTTTTTCCTATGTAACCCTTCACAAATTTAAATTTACAGCCCCAAATCCTACTCTCTTCTCTGAGTTTTCTCTCCTTAGCGGCTCAGTCACTTAGACATACATCAGCTTGCCATCCTTTCCCCTATGATCCTCATTTCTTTTCTTTGTCCCTTTGTTCCTCCTCCTTTTCTTTTTAGTTTTCGAGGAAGGTGGGACTCTGGGAGTTTAAACTTAAAATACGTGGTAGACTGGTACTCTGGTAGAGGTCCTAGAGGAAGGTGTAGGGCTGGAAAGCTAGTAGAGTGGTAGCCAAGTGATTTAAAATTGAAACTGTACTTACAATTTTGAAGAAGTGCAGCATGTGTTTTCATCTCAATTAACATAATGTTTTGATATATTCTCAGGCTTAACTGACTTATATGTTCATGTTGCGGTTGACAATGAATCGGCAAAAAAGCTGTATACGAAGAGTGGTTTCACCTATGAAAGTGATGAACCAGCATGGAAGGCTAGATTCGCAAACAGGCCAAGAAGAATCATTCTTTGGTTTGGTTTACCAAACTCTTACAACTTATAAACATCAAAGCCAGGTTACCTTCTTATGCCAATGTCTTTTTCACAATCCATTTCTCTTGTGTATATCTGAAAGGACCGGCAGTATTTATGTGGTTTAACTGTATAGTTTATATTTTATTTGATTGCTAAAGTATACGCAGTCTTCGTAAATCTTTGATTGCTGTATAGTGATTCTTGGATCATTATTATTAATTGCAGAATTCATGAAAGCATATTTATTGCAGATGGCTGATTAGGCTCACTTCGCTTGACTTATTACTTTACATTACATTCAAGTAAAGATCTAATGTTAGCGTGATTTAATCTTTGAATTGATCAATTTGTAGTGTGGCTTGCTTATTATTCCTGGCTTTTATATGATGAGGTCAGTGTAAAAAATTATAATTTACTTTGAAAAATACAATTTTTTTAATCAAGAAATAGTAAAAGGGAAGTGTAGACCTTACGGTTGTGTTTTTTATTTTACTTTGCCAAATTTATTGGGACTTTTTATTTTTATAAGGCTCTATAAGACATGCTGATGTGAGTATATTATATCGCCTAGAATAAGTAGAAGTTAATTCCCAGGGCTTTTGATCTCAAGAATTGGCTAAATTTGGGGTTGAAATTTTTTCAAAGAAGGGAAGGATGGGGTCCCCATGGGGAGCGAAGGGTATATTCATAAATAATTATCTTATGAAAACTTAAGAAAATAATACCACAAATTTCTTAAAAAATGGATTATAAAACCACATATTTTCAAACTTTTATTATAACACCACATAAAAATCTTGAATTTAGATTTTACTACCACTTAGCGGATTCTTGGATGGAATTCGTTAGTGGGGCCTACAACAAATACATGTCAATAGCCTATTAATTAATAAAAAGAAAAATAAACAAAAAACTAAAACTAAAAAACCCTAAACCAGCCAGCTCCACTATCGGCACCACCTGCTCTAGCCGCCGACAACCTTACCCCACCCATAGGCGCCTGTGCCCCCGCCAAAAACGGCAAAACCAGCCTTTACTCCTTTCCCCTTTGCCGAATTATACCCCCTCATGGACCCACAAACATCAACAACACCAACCACGAATGCGCACCGAGCAATTCTCGCAACCACCTCCACCATTGCATACAACCAATTTGCACCCCTTTGAACCGCCACAAATATCCACTGGTGGATTGTGGTTGATATTTGCGGTGGTTCGAAGGGGCTGTTCGAATTGGTTGAGATTTGCGGTGGTCAGCAACCAACAAATTATCAATTCCAGCCTTGATTAAGGGGGAAATGGGTGGTTTTCGGGAAGGGGGAAGAGGGTTAGGGGTAGTTGGGCTGGTTTCGTCGGTTTTTGTGGGGGAAGGGGTTGCCAGGGGCACGAGGCAGCTGGCTTGGTTAAGGTTTTTGGTTTTTTTTTTAATTTTTAATTTTTTATTTTATTGTAAATTTTCTCAACCAATACATTTATGACACATGTCTTTTGTAGGCCCCACTGACGGATTCCATTCAAGAATCCGTTAAGTGGTGATGAAATCCAATTTATAGGTTTTTATGTGGTGTTATAATAAAAGTTTGAAAATATATGGTGTTATAATTCATTTTTTGAGAAATTTGTGGCGTTATTTTCTAAAATTTCCTTATCTTATTAGACTTTTTAATGTTTGGGTTTGGAATTTTGGATTGTATTACAAGCCAATTTTGTATGGGGTATATATTATGGGGTTATTTTTGTTCATATAGGATTTATTTTATCTAGGTGTTTGCAAGAGATCGGCCCAGTCCAAGGGTGCGTTTTACTTATGCAAGGAGGAGGCCCAGGCAAGGGGTGGATAAGAAGGAGTGAGCTGGAAGATGTGAGCTGGAAGTTAGTTATGGGAAGGGGGTAAATCAGTAATTTGAGAAATAAGTTTGTTAGTCCTTGGGAGGGGGGATGAATCTGTTATGTCAGCTAGGTAGTTATTTTTGGGTATTTAAGGGAAGCTTGTAGAGGGGGAATGCATTCAGAATTTTGTAGTGGAAATTATTCCTTGGGAGAGCATCCTTTCCTCTCGAAAGAAAGGAGTTGTATTGGGGTTATCTTGACTTGCGATACAATCTATCTTGGCTGCTATTTTTCTTCTCTATTTCTCTTGCTTACTCTGTTTTTCTGAACTAATTCCCAGCAGTGTTTTTATAATTTTATTTTCTAGTAGAATATTCTAGATTATAGTAGGCTTAAACATAGTATTTTACAGCTTGATTGAAACATTGAAATAATTTGGGAAATTCTCTGAGGTAATCACCACAATTTTAATATTTTTTCAGTGGTAAAGTCTAAAACTTTTGATTATCGATGGTAATCACAACTTTATATTATTAAGCAAATGATAACTTAAATTAAACAATTTGTTAATTTCTTAACTATAGTTAGCTATTAGACTGCGAAAAGACACAATTACCCCTAAAATGACCCCCCTTTCCTTTCCCCCTAATTTTCTGCCTTTCTCTTTCCTCCTTCCAACACCAATGGCGAAAGACTTGTACAAATCCGTTATCTTCGAAAATCCTTCTCCCTTCCAGCATCAATGGCAGATACAAATCCCTTTCCCTTCCCTTTGATTTTCTTCCTTTCTCTTTCTTCCTTCCAACATCAATCGATTCCAAAACTTGACCTAGAATCAAACCCCCAAATTTGAAAATAGATTTAGAACGACGTACGTTCAGAAGCAAAAGTCAATGACGGTGATTAGGAGGACGACTTGGCGGCAATGACGGGAGAAGGAGAGAAAGCGTGAAGAAGAGTGTTCAAAGCAAAATAGGTGGAAACCGCCATTGGAGACCTTCAAAGGGAGGTTGAAATTGGGAGACCTAGGAGAGAGAAAATTGGCGTGTGGTGGGTAGTCTCAACGGCGGCAATTTAAGTGGGTGGTGTTGGTGGTAGTTGGGGCAGCAAGATGGAGAGTGAGAAATAAGGGGGAAAGAAAGAGGGAAAACAGGGGAAGGGGATTTCGCCTGGGTGTGCTGGCTATGGTGGTTGAATGTGTTTATCTCCGGCGGGGGAGGAGATTGAGACACCATCAGTCGGGGCCGACAAGGGGAGGGGGGCTGCTGGTTGGCTGGGGTGGGGTTTGGAGTTTTTTTTTTATAATTATTTGAAGGGTACTAATGTAAATTCATTGTCATTTATCCAAAATTAACCCTAGTTAATCATTTTACTTTGTTTTATTATTATTAATGTTACCATTTGCTTCGTAATATTAATTCGTGACTACCACTGATAATAAAAAATTTTAGACTTTACCATTGAGAAAAAAAATAAAGTTTATGATTACGAGAGAGAATTTCCCAATTATTTCTTTTGATAAACTTTTGCTATCATAGGTTTAGGGAGTTAAACCACTCACAAAACTGCAACTTTAGTGCATCTTTTTTTCTGCGACTAACTAAAAATTGAGTATTATCATTGTTATTTTCGTTAGGTCTACTAAGATCCACATCAACTTAGATCGCTGGAACCCGACAATTATTGTCAAAATCAATGATTTTTATTTTTCATTATACACACACACACACACACACACAAACAACCTCCGGATCGTATTATATGCAACTTTGGAATTTGTGGGGTATTATTTGTGAGATATAAAAAATTTCACGAGAGAAGCTAGGGCAGTAAGGATAGAATTGACAAGGAAAGCTTTCTTTTTTGGGAGAAAGATGGTTCAAGTTCATGATCATGGTAGAGATTTTATCTAAGAGAAACTGGAAGTGAGGGCCTTTCTTCTCTCCAAAGTCCACTGAAGAGCCGAAATACTGTTTATGTTTAACCTAGGTGTATAATATCTGGAATTTATGACTCTAGGATACTAAATCCAGCTATTAGAAAAGACTTCATCTTTTATTGGAGATAATGAAATTATTTGGGCTGAATTTCAAAAACGAGTTCAAACTGTCAACTTGCTTTGAGATAAAATTACCTAAATATAAATGTATTTAACCACCAGCTTCAATTCGGATTTCACTGTACTAAATTCCCAATTTTTTCATTTTATTATGTATAGCTCTAATCCTGCCCCCCCCCCCCCCCCCCCCCCTTTTCTGTCCTATGACTCCTATCCTCCTCGCCTTAAATATTGACCTCTTCTTGGAGATGATGCCACCAGTGTGGCTTTATCAACTGCCCTGGTAACTGGCAAGTTGTCACCATCAATCTTGGTTCCCCATCGGTGTCTGCTCTGTTTCAAGGGTTTAAGTTATGATTTCTCTCAGTTGTATTCTATCTCTTCATTGAGGGCTTTAATCCATCTTGGTAGTTCATTTTTTCTTAGAAGCTTTATTATAATTTGCTCTTTAATTAAATTGTAAGTTTATGACATTAATCAGGGCTTGGTGAGTAAATCTTGGGATAGTTGGGTATTTAATTCATCTTTTACTCATTGTTGCTAGTTTGAAAGAGGAAAGTAATCTCTTGTTTAAAGCTTGATAAGTCATTCATCACATATCATAAAACTGTAATATTGATATTGTGGTATGCCATTTTATTAGTGTGTAGCCTAGATTTTTGATTTGACTATACTTCTTAATTTGAATTCAGTATTTTGTGTGATTAAAGTTTAAACAATAAAATTTATTGAAAGTTAAGGAGCTTGATTTTTGGATTGAGAAAGGTGGAAGCCTACTATAGAAGGGTTAAACTGTTAAAGCTTCCATTAAGCTTAGCAGTTTCTTAGAGTCTTGTAGTGACCTTCCGAGCACCTTGCATTTGTAACTGAATAATAAAGAAAATAAGCTAAATAACACTTCATTGCTGATGGTTGCATAAACTTATCTCTTAATGAGATCAAGAGGTTTGGAGTTTTTCTAGTGAAACCAAAAGAATAGTGAACAACTTCTCCTGGTTTGAGAGATGAGGGAATGTTCAGAAGGGAAAGATGAGATTGATGGATTGAAGTAAACAGGTGATCGGACTGAAATGGGAGACTTGGTGCTTAATTTAATCCCGAGACAAATTATATGCTGTGTCATTGATGCTGAAAGATTTTCTCCTAAGAGGCTAAGAACATTATTTTGACGATGACATCTTAGGAAGCTGGTTTTTGAAATATAAGGTATATATGTTTTGTCTAAGTGGGTTTGAGGAGCACAACTTCAATTATTTGAATAAAAGAAACCCAAAGCCTACCCTGAAAGTTTTCATACCAAGGTGTTTCAAGGTCAGATCATGTTCTTTTAAGATCCGTGGTTTCCACTTGCTATTAAAGGTCTAGTTGGTTTTGTGATGAGTATGATGACAATGAAATCTTGTTGGCTGGATTGATATATTGATTGGGGGCATTTTCTTAATTTAATTTGGGTATTTAGTGTAACATTATCATCGGCTATTTGCCTATTTGGCAGTCAATTTCGATACCATTTAGAGGAGTGTGACAACTGTGTATTTGCATTTGCATTAGGCAGCTAGTTGATGGGCTTGTTTGGTAAATGGCTTTTCATTGGGTTTTTCATTGGCTTTTGGCTTTTTCATTTGGTCAAACATCCAAAATTTGTGTTTGGTAAATGGCTTTTTCGGCGAAAAACTGGCTTTTCAAAATGAAAAAGCTACTTGGAGTAGCTTTTGGCTACCTAAGTTACTGATAACATCCAACAACCAATTTTTTCAAACATGTTTTTAGACTAATAAAAAGTCAAACAACCAACAAAAAAGCCAATACAAACAACCAGCCGACAACCAACCTAATTGCCAAGGCTGATGCCTGATGGAAGTAGGGGCTTGAGTGCTGGTAGAAGCCATATAGCATAGGGATTAGGAATACCTAAATATAAAAAGGCATTGGCGTCATTGACTTTGTATCATATACAGGAAAGAACGTATGAGGACTGAAATGGTTGCCTAAACCATATGACCTGAACATTTGTGTGGATATTGTCCGTATAACTCTGATCATTTTCGTAAAAGGTAGGATTTGAGGTAGGTAGATAGCCTACTCAAGTTTATTGCTGATGTATATTCAGCTTGTATGTGAAAGTTTGGTAGCATTGAAGTGAAAATGATTCTATAATGGACATTGTTTCGTATGAACATTTATGAACTGATTAATATCACACAAATCTTAAAATTGACTCGAATTTAACACCTCAAATACGAGTTTTTGCTTTTGCTAACTCACAGTTTTGTTAAAAAGTAATGGCCTATTGATTTCTTAGATAGTAGCTCATTTTTTTATTACTGTATTACTTATTGCCAGGATAGAGTAAAGCTAGTCTTAAAAACGATATGTTATTATAAAATTATTGTAGTTTTAAAACAAATATGAACATCCCGTGTCTCTATGTATATTACTACCTCCACTTTTGTAAAAAATTCGTAAAACATTCCGTTTTCGTTCGTTTTTGCCAAGCCCTTATTACTATTTACCTCACACCCCACAATATTTACATCTTATCACATTTTTCTTACTTTATTGACCTTTCTCTTCCTCCCCCTAAATTTGTGCACATAGTATCTTACTTTTTCTTATATTACCTCCGTTATATATTATTTGCAACGATTAGACATTTTTCCTCTCTACTTTATATTAAATCGTTGCAAAAAATATGAAATGGAGGTAGTACAACTCTCATCACATCATCTCTCTTTTTAATTTCTTTAATTTGTGTATAAATAGTAGATGTTAAGACCTTTTGGGAACTCGTGTAAGGTGTTGGGGTTTATTACGCTTTATAATTTCATATTAAGCTTGGAATTGGCAATAAAATAATGTAAATGTCACATTTTGCGTGTCAAGAAGTAACTCAATTGACACGTAAAACAAGATTATTACATTATTTTACTGATTTCAAGCTCAATTTGGATTCAAAAGGGATAAAAGGACCCAAAAACTTTACTCTAGCAATTTCCGCGCTTAAAAATAATGACACGCTAATCAAGACATTTCTTGATATGCAAATCAAGACATTTGTTTTTTCTTTTTTTTTTTTTTTTTTTTTTTTTTTTTTTTGCAAATTCTAGCTCAATTTGGATTTTAAGGGTCAAAATGACTTCAAAAATCTTTAACAAAACATTTTCAGCATGCAAATTGAGAAAAAAAAAATATAAATATATGGAGTGGCCCCTATTAACGGTTATTGGATTAACGTGACGGAAACCGTTAACGGTAGGATAACGGCAAGACTATTGTTGATTTACTAATTGTACTATTAGGTCACAAAATGAGTAACTTTTAAAAAGTGGGGGCACAACTTGAAAATGTCAAAGGTAGAGGGTTATAAGAACTTTTTTACTGTAGTAATTATTGTTGCTTGTATTTTCATTTGTCTTCTCACTTGCCAAATAATCTTTCTAAATTGTATAGTACCTTGAATTTTTTAGGTCAGTTGGATGTTCCAACTTAAGAGATCTTGTTCACATATTCGTGTATTTTTGGCGAACTTGTGGACTAGATCTATTCTATAGAATGTACACCATACATAACCTTTTTTACAAATGAGACCACACTCTGCCAACAATAAATTCCAATTATATACAACCAAATTATTATTTGGTTAAAGATATATGTATAATTATCTGTGACTTTGTGTACAATGTGAAATCTATTCAAACCACTGATTACTATATGCGTGTTTGGCTTGAGTTCAGTATTGAAGATCTTCGTTATTTTCTTCTGCAGCTTCTAACCTTAGTCATTGTATCATATGTATGAGCTAAACTATCAAGAAACGTGTTTTTTCTGTAGCTTGTGCTACTAGCTTAATATTCCGTATAAATTATCAAATAAAAAGTTGTAGAAAGGTCATATACATACAAACAAATGTGATAATCAATGGTTATTATCTTCTGCAGCTTCGTAATCTTAGACTCTTAGTTATTTGTCTCATATGTATGAACTAATATCAAGAAGTGAGCTTTTCACCTAGCTAGTGCTATTATAAATTGTCGAATAAACAGTTCATAGGCTATATACATACAAACAACTCTCTAAATTGGCTAATTGTGATGAATGTTGAAAATGAAGTTTTAGATTTTGAAGCCTTTGTATTGGACATTTGGACCTATTGGCCAACTTTTTTCAGGAGATTCTTATGGTGAAGTTTATATGATGTATCTTTATCATATATTGTTTGACAGATACACGCAAATAAGTGGAGTGTCTGCACTGTGTTTGTGCATTTAGCATGAAATTGATTGTTGGGGTAGGAACTAAGGCTCCATTTGTTTTGACGGAAAACATTTTCCTAAAAAATAATTTACTCATTTTCTATTGTTTGATTAAGTGAAGTGATGAAAAACAATTTTCCCTTGGGTGGAAAGTAGTTCTCGAGTAAAAAAAATGTTTTTCTTTAAAAAAAAAAAAAAGGTATGTCACATTTTTCTCCCTACTCTTTACATCCCTTACCTCTCCTCCCGTACATTTTCTCCCCCCACTCCTACTTTCCCCTTCCTGTATAATTTTTCTTGTAAGGAAACAAACAAAAAAAAAAGTATTTTCGCAATTGTATTATCCATTAAAAGTTTTTTTTTTTCGTGGAGAATCATTTTCCCCAAAAGCTGTTATCCATTAAAACAATCAGAGCCTCAAGGATATTAGGGAAGGATTTATTTTATATTTTGGATTTTCTGAGTGAAAGATTTTTTTTTTTTTTTTTTTACATTCAATTGTAAGAATTGTTTAGAAAACTAAGAACTAGGTTGTAGAAATAAGAATGGAAAATTTGGTCAAGATAATATCAACTATCAATGGAGTATGCAAAATAATACAAACTCCACTATTTACTCTTAGCGGTACCACCTTTTGTACTATATGTGCAAAATAATATATCAGTCGCCGAAAAAGTATTTCGAGGAATATTCCGTCTATATTTATCATTATCCTATTTTTTGTTAATAATTTTTTGTTTTTCTTTTCAAAACACAAATTATGTTACTCCTTCCGTCCCTTTTTTACAATCCTGCTTTCCTTTTTGGGTATTTTAAAATTACATTCCTACTTTATTTTTTTAGTAAGTAAATTTTTACCAAATATTCCAAATTATTCCTATTTTTCTATTTTGTAATTAATGTTTTCTCTATTTCTCACTCTTTTAAAATCCACGTTCATCAATTTAGATGAATATGATTGGTCCTTTTTTTCCACCGAAAAATGTTATTAGTCCTTTTTCTTTTCAAAGGATTGATGACATGTGCAACATCGGATATTATTCTATCTTTGTTTTACTCAAAGACATCAATTTATGTCTTGTAATTCCCATTGTATTTTGTTTTATTGTTTTTTGTTGTATTTCAAGTTTTCCTTAATTCCCGTGTAATTTTACAAATAGGAATGTTAAAAAGAGTCGGAGGGAGTAACAATTTCTTTTACTATACAATCCAAATTAATTATGCCCCACCCCTAACAAAAGGTGGTGCTGTTAATAGCAATAGTTGAGTTCCTATTATATTGCACATACCGGTGATAGTTGGTATTATTTTGAGGTAATTTTTCAATACGAATTAGATTCATGAATTGTTTGGCAGTTTTGTTTATAGTATGAATCAGGTTCATGAATTGTTTGGCAGTTTTGTTTATAATATGATGAATAGGTTCATGAATTGTTTGGCAGTTTTGTTTATAATATGACAAATTTTTGTTCACAATTCAGATTGATAAAATCATAAGAGTCTGAAATAAGTATGAATTGAAGTAAATGTGGTTAACTTGCTAACTCATAAAAACTGCAAATCTGTAACTGTTTCTACATCATTATGCTTAAAAAGGCGTGGCTAGGTGCTAGCGATTAGGGTAGAGCATTGTTTTTGCTCTAGGCGAGGCGCATTAACAGAGGCGCTCCTAAGGCGTACTTGAGGCGCACATAGACAAATTTCTGTAATTGTTTGATATTGTGCGCCTCACTTCAAAGAGGCGCACTGAAGGTGCGCAGGACCTTCATCGCCTCATTGCGCCTTGAGCCTTTTTATACATTATTCTCTGGCTTAGACTATGCTAAATTTGCTTAGAGAAAGTATATTATGTAAGGTTGTAAGTGTAGCTTCCAACTTTTGGTAAAAGTGGGATGGATTCATTTTTACTGAAGGACGAAAGTACTATGTAAATGTGCTAGATAGTACAATAGTAACAGAGTGTAGGTGCATAATCGATATAGTTTTATATGATTGATACTGGTTGAAATGAAGTGAAAGTAGCAGTACAAAAGACATGGTTTTGTGGTAGAACCTCTTATATAGAGTTTCAAATGATTATACAGAAACATACTACAGACTACAGACTGGAGTACATAAAATTATACAGAAACATATTACAGACTACAGACTAGAGTACATAAAAATTATACAGAATCATATTATAGACTACAGACCTGAAATACATAAAAAAGAAATGTAGTATGAAATTTTAATATTTGCAGAACTGAAGTTCATATTTTGCAAGTGTTGGAGGCATTGTCAACATTCGATTGATGGTTGTCGCCCACATCTTGTAACGCTGGTAATCATCAGCCATGTCTATCTTTATAGGCCCCCTTGTCGTTGTTAACACGATTTGATAACAAGTATCAAATTCTTCTCCTCCTTCATCCTTGTAAAGCTCAGCATGCAGATCAAGAACTAGACCTGAATTTTTTTAACCAGTTTGTTCTTTTAGTTGTCTGAATTAAAAAGCTAGTTTCTTAGTGCAATTTAGTGATCGAAAGTTGTTACTTACAATCCTTCTTGTTTGTGATGACATTCAAAAAGTTGCGTTTCATTATCCTCAGAATCACCTGTGACAACAAAAACTGCATTCAGATTTATGCTATTTCATGATTCAGAAGTTTTTTTTTTTTTTTTTTTTTTTTTTTTTTTTTTTTTTTTTTTTTTTTTTTTTTGCTTTCTTTCCCTGTAATGCAGTAGTTGAGAGCAAAGAGAAGTGTTCTGTTTCTTACCTTTGCCTCGTTGCTTAGGTTAATAGCGACAATCCTCACCATGCTCTTTCCTGTTAATTCAACCCATATAATAGAAGATTAGAAAACTCAATTGAGAAATTCAGAACTTAAATATCTGAAATATAGTCTTGTTAATTGAGAAACTCAGAACTTGTGAAGATTCATTCATGTTGGACTGTTGATCTGTTGGTGATTTTTAAGTAAGGTATTCGATTATTCGATCCATTAATATGTATATAAATTATGTTTTTCTGTATTATACAAAGTATTTATTATCACTTATCAAACGAGCTGTAAGAACTTTTAGTGGGAAACATTTGCTTCAAAAAAGTGTACCTAATTGTACTATATGAACCTCTTATATGTGCCAAAAGGTCCCTCTCTTGACGTTATTCTAATTTCATATGGGCACACATCATAAAAAATTAGATTTGCCGACAAATTATTTATTTATTTACAAGGTATAATTTTATTTTCAAATATGTGACTTATTCAAATACTATTCGACTTTATGATGTTAGTGACGTTCATAATATTAGCTTGATTTTGTTTTTGAGTTGACATTATCTGATTTTTTTTTATTAAGAGACAAAATGTGTAAAGACAAAATTGCGTCTAATTATGGTTAATAATGCCCATTTAATGTCGGAAATTAGAATTGTAGGATAGCACAATATCTGGCCCCTTTCGTGCTTTTTGTTCTGACAAAGAACTATATTAGTTCTTATTATGTTGGATTGATGTGATTATTCTTTGTGATTTATAATTAACACTGTATAATAAGTTCGATTAGACTGGATTGAGTGGTATACAAAAAAAGAGGTTTGATTTGGATATATTTAGTAAATACTTAGTACTTTTGGAAACTACAATAAAAACAATTTGTTTATTAAGATTAATTATGAACCTTAGCTTACACTCAATTTCTAAGTTATGGTGGGAGTTCCTAACAACTGGATCATCATGCATTTGTCGTTATATTTTTCTTACCTTAATAATTCTATAGATGCATCTATGTCCACTTTTCTTTAGTAATATGTAAAGATAAATGTCATTATTTTAATTGTTATTAAATTAATTTCAATGTATATAGTTTATGAAAAATGTTTATGATCAAAATTAGCACAAATATATTGAATTTGTTTTTAAGTTATGCGTTTATCGAGAAACAGATGCAATTTAAAACTTCAGTGGTGTATCAAGAAGCTCACAAAATATTTTTCATGTTTTTTAGATTAGACTTCTTGCGACCGAAAACTCTATTTTAGCATTGGAGTTTTTTTTTTCTTTTTCTTTTTCTTTTTTTTTTTTTTTTAAAAAAAAAAAAAAGGGAAAGGCAAATGTTGGTACCATTAGCAGTCTCGATAGTTAGCTCAGCACCCTTGGATAAAGTAGCTCTGGATTTCACATAATCAAGATCTTCATCAAGCTTACAATTATCCACATCAATTGGCAGAACTGGCTCGCCATTTAACCTATTCTTGCATCCTGATCTTGCTTTTAGTGTAGCTGCTCCTCTTAATGCTGTAATATAACAACAGTTTAATTTAACTACTTAATAATTTAATTTAAATGTCGGTCAACAGATTTTATAAAATTCGCTTTGAATTATAAAAATGCTAAGTAAATAAAAAAAAAAGGGAGCACATATGATTAACGTACATGTAGTAGCGGCAGCAGTGAGAGTGAAGATATCACTTGTGCTAGTTCCACTCATTGCTGAGCTGATTATAGTACTGAGTTGTTCCCTCTTGGCTCCCATTGATTCAGCTACTTGGGCACATTGAGAAGCCACTACAGCTGCGGCTGAGGCAAGTGCCGCTTTCCTGGCTGGGCTCGACTCGTGCTCGAGTTGTCCTTTGGAGGACTCCTCGGCTATAGCTGCAAGCGCAGTTGCAAGCCCAGCTATGGATAAGGCTGCATGCACTTCTGCCCTTTGAAGTCTTTTACCTTCTTTCCTTTTTTCTTTCATCTCCTTTACCCATTTCTTAATTGACACATTCCCAAAGGGCATTTTCCAGTCAAACTGTTGATTTTTTTGTAAAGGCAAATAGAGAAAATGAAAAATAAATTAGGATAGAGGATATGATGGTGAACTATAAATTTAATTTTTCTTAAAAATGGTGGACATTATTGAATACTGATTATGCCGTGTGAAATTTGTTGTTATATGGTTTCAATTCATGATAACCAGGTGTGCTTTTTTCAACTGAATTGGACTTACATAGCTTATTTAAATTTATCTATCTTACCAATCTAATAAACTTATTTGTAACGTGTTTTTGTAACTGTGTTTATTTACTTATTTTTATCGAACTTGTTAAATATTTTGGAACTTAAGCCTGACCTTATAGCAACATTTTTTAATGTCTGTGAAAACCCTTTTTTTTCCCCTTTTTATAACCTCAAAATAGTATATGTGAAAACTGTACAAGTTAATGATAATATATGTTGGCTATCCTCATAAGCATGTGTTCTAAAAAAGAAGAATTACCCATTTCTTCCTATAGCCATTGTAGTTCAACTCCGGGTGCATTGCTTGTTGCATCCATATCCAAGACTGAAATGTAAAGAAACATCAAAGAGTAGTTAGAACATATATTTAAGTTAAATAATCAAAAGTGGTTGGATATATAAAGAATATAATTAACTTAATTAGGTACTAATTGTACTTTAATACAGTTAAGACTTGTCTTTTTAAACAACTTTTGAAGCTAAAGCACAGACAGTAATCACTACATATGGTGGCAGCTAGCTTTTTAGAATTACTTAATTTTTACTTACTCTTTCCTAATTTGGTTGCTTTAATGTGAAAATCTTAAAGATTAGTAATGGTACAACATAACAGATCAGTATCAATGAGTTGTTAACATAGTTAATCATGGCCTCATGAGTGGCCTGACCCGTGAGGCTTACCCCAATTTAGATCCAGAGCCCGACCCGAATTAATGCCTAAGATAAACTCAAAGAAGCAATTAATTACTTGTTAGTATATAGTATACGAAGTTATAACGAAGAATTTACCTAAGGTTTTTAGATCAAATCACATTTATGTTGCTGTTGTAAAATTACCATCATTTATATAAAAAGGATATTTTATATTAGCCTAATTTTTAGTCAATTTAAATTTAAATTTGAGGGATCAAATTTAACATAAACTTTGTGCATGAAATAATTGTAACACAACACTTAAACCTCATCTTTTTTCTCTCTTGGCCCCTTCACTCCAATAATATTTGTAGGTTATGTCATAGAGAGGGAGAAAGAACAGGAACATGGAGCAAATGGATAGCTTATTGTTTAGTAGTTTACACACCAGTTTAAGGGTAAGTTTTTTCATCTGAACTTGTCTTATTAGACCTAATTACCCCTGATTTGCATGTTATACATAAATAAAATCTATTAAGTAATAAGAGTACTTTGTAAGAAGCTACAACTGTATTTTTGCAATGTGTTTGTTAAGCCTCCCTTTTTATACCAATTAATTTAGCTATCAATTTGTTAGTTAAGCCTCCCTTTTCTACCAATTAATTTAGTGATTTGACCTTTTTTGGTTACGTTTGTATAAATCAACAAAAATTATAAATAACAATATATTTGTTTGAAAACTACAATTTTAGAAGAGATGAGATTCGAGACATGATAGTTTAGATTATTAGAGCCTTTTTGGAAAACCTTGGGTTTTCATAAAATTAGTAAACATGTACTTCGTTTTTATTTTTGTTCTACTCATGTACTAAGGCAAATAATAAACATTTGATCTTAGAATACTATACAATGAAACAAATTTAGTAAGATCACACATGTTGATTTTTGATTTGTACATATATAGCAATATACGTTAAAGTTTATATAGTTAAACTAAAGGAATGAATAGCAAGTGAGTAGATCAAAAAAAAAATGTCATTCGCACGTAGCATTAATTTGTAAATGATGTTATCTTTAGGAGTCCAACCTGCCTAACTAGCTACACATCTAAAAAACCTTGAAAATATTAGCTAATATAGGCTTTTTTTTTTTTTTTTTTTTTTTTTTTTTTTTTTTTTTGTAAGAACGGTATAAAATGTAAGCATATACACTCCTAAGAAGAATTTCATGTAAGAATATCTGCAAATATACTCATAATTAAGAAAAAAGTATACGGACTATTATTATAGGATCACACACCTTTTTTTTATATTCGATATTATGTATCACTTCAAAGATCATTATGTCATTAATTGCCAATTTATAAAACAATTATGTACTGTATTTTATACAATATGAGGTTGAAATATCATCGTAATAAATAACAATTTCCTTATTTTCCGTATACATAAGGTACAATAATTTAGGAATGGGAGTAATATCAAGTACAGAGTAATAATTATGGAGCGTACTTGTATTCCAGTGTCATTATAAAAAAAAAAAAACAATTATTACCTTGAGATCATTTGATTTCCATTGAGGTACTGAGTTCGTATAATCTGCATCCTCCATTCTTGTACTACACTTTTCCATCTTCTACAATCCCAAAAGAAGAAAAAAAAAACATCATATGTAAGTTTATAAGCATCATATGGCTCTTGAGGCCGAAGATGAACATGGCTAAGCGGTCTAACCACATACATCATGTGTATCAACTTGAATAGATGCATATATACTATATAATGTAGAAACTTACCAAATCGAATGACTTCATGGTGCTATCTCGGACAAGAATCGATGATCCAACGTCCGATGATAACTCGGGTTGTAAGGCTTGAACAGCAAAGTTGCACCAAGCATTAGAAAGGAAGTCCATAGTCTCAGGATGTGCTTCAGAAAGTGTTGACATACTGAGACTATGATCTGTATCCATTGTTATTATTATTGATATTATTGCTAGAATAACAATGAATGTTTTTAGTGTGAGTTCGTTGTAGTGAGGAATTGTGTTAGCTTTACAAGACCATATATATAGAAAAAAAAATAATTTCTATTTATTTTTAATATCTTAGAATAAAATCAACAAAATAAAATAAAACAGATGAGTATCTTAGAATGAGTACCATCGATAAAATAATATGTAGAATAAAGGTTGCATAGTTGATGTAATACATTATGTCGTTACATTAGTTGTTATTATATCCTTATATTAGCTAACAATATGGTCCATATAAATATACAGTATATTTCTTTGTTATAGACATCTAGAAAGTAGCTAAATTGGGTGCTTTATTACATTATTTGCTTGGAAAGTTGGTGCATAAGGGAACAGGACCTCGTCTTCTATATCATTAGGATAACTAGGACCACCGCAATTTTCTGTTCTCGATCTCTTTTTAATGAATAGGGAATGAGGAGGAAGCCAGGTAGGGAATTTGCCGGTTGATCGAGTCAGGTTAAATGACTAATTAACCGCCTAGCGTGCAAAGTAAATAAGATTACATGTGAGTGAATCGAACAGGAAGGGCATTGGAGGAGAGATGGCATGAAAGAGTAATTTTTGTTTTTTCAGCGTGTTTTCTATGTGGTTGACCACACCGTGTAGGTGGGGTCACTCGGTCGGTTAGAGTTACTTATTCAGGAGTTACGTGATCAAAATTTACTTGATTAAGGGTTATTCGGTCGGTCGGTCAGGATTACTTGGTCGGTCATGGTCGGTCAAGGGTTATTTATTCAATCAAGGGTTATTTGGTCGATCAAGAGTTACTTATTCAATGAAGAGTTATTTGGTCGGTTAGGGGTTACTTATTTAAGGGTTACCCAATTAATCAGGGGTTACCCCTAAATAAATAACCTTGGCCACACGGAGTGGTCAGTCACATATGAAAATTTGTATTGTTTTTTGGATAGGGGGAGAAATGTAAGTTAAATTACAAAAATTAAGAGCGTGGGTAAGTCTAACATCAAGATAGGTTTGATATGCTGACTCAACCCAATCCAGTGCAACTACATTTAAAAGCCTTGCCCTCCCTTTTCATATCCTAGTCTTGCCTTTACTAAAAATTCAAAATTAACCTTTAACTACATACAAAATCCTTGCATCCAAATTATATTTGATGTCATAGCTAGTTTTCTCTTCTTAACAGATTTGGGTAGTATATTACGGAGTAAAATTTACATTGATTTATACTAAGAATGCATAAATTATAATCACTAGCATTAAAAGTATAAAGATATTCATATAACATAGCTATAAGTAAAGCATGGTGTGCAAATCCTAACCAGGAGTCAAAGTCTAGTTGAGTGCCAACCAGAAAGAATTCAAACTTAGCTTGTTCTTTAAAATAAATGGGTAGTATTATCATTAACTTTGCTGTGGCTCATTAATAATGCCCTTTCTTTTTGAAAAAATCATCCAATCATGAACATGATATTTTCATATTAGAATAACCAATCACTTTTTATCACATATAGTAGTATATATATGTAAAGATGAGTTAGCTTGATTCTTCCAAGATTATATGTTGCACAAATAATTTTTAGTACTCGAATATTGTATATTTGTACATTAAAGATCCAATTGAAAATAGGAGAAATTTTAATGTCCAAACTATTCTCTACACCTATAATAAAAATTGATACTTTTCCCTTTTAAATTTACTCGTAACACGCCATTTTGACAAAATTTTAAAAGTGATATTAATTTAGATAAATGAACAAATTAATTGAAATAATTTTACCACCAATAAGAATAAAAGTGTTAAGTTGATACTATTTGAAATTTTTAGCTTAATTCGTCTGTTTCAAATCACTTTTTTTACATAACGTATAAAAAAAGTTTGTATATACTCCGTATTTCGCTTATTCGTTCTCCTATTGGCCGCATATACATACGATATTTACAAAATATCTTACACATCACCTTCAACACTTTTCTTTTTTTTTTTTTTTTTTTTTTTTTGTGTCAAAATGTCAAAAGTAATTATTATAGCATTATTTAATGTGAAAAAGACCTTACCTATTAGCCAGGCTAACAAAAAATGAAGGTTACACCATCCCAGGCAAGTTCTCTCGGATTGAATTTTTTACTCCGTAATATAAACACAATTTGATACCATTACTCTTACCTACTACAGTTGTGCTAAGTTGTGTAAGTCTATGTGCCATGTCAACATGTCTCGTATTTAGGCAGTCGTGTTTGAACCGAGCGGCCAAGGAAAATGTATGTTGTATTGAACTTATTCCAATCTTTTGAAAGCAAGGCCCATACACAAATCTAACCATGTGCCAAAATCAATGTCAAGATGAGTAGTGCCAATCTAGGCTTCTATTCTTCTATAACAAACCCCTTAATAATTTTTAGATATTTTGTTGATTGGTTAAGAATGAATAAGTTAGCATGTCCTGCTCTTGTCCGGTCAATTTCATGTCAATTTAATATAATCCATCAACGACCAATTCTACGTTTTACTCAGAATACTCTAGCAACTTAACAATTGACAATCTATAAGCAATGATCAATTATTACCAACAATAGAAACTTCATATTTTAAACAATTATAATGTAATAGAATTGGTAATGTAAGCATCAAATCCATAAACATATACTTCCACAAGAATAGTACTAAAAAAAAAAAAAAACTCTCAAGATCAGAAGTGATGATGAAATAATATATGTATATATCCTTTAATTTCTTTCTTAGGTTTATTGATAACATACATTGCACAATTCTCAATTATAGGTGACCACTTAGAAATTGGGGATGATGAATGTATCAAAAACTAGTATCATGTATGGGAGAGATCTCTGAGATAGGCTAAACCAATGGTTCGTGCAGTATGTTCTTGTCATTGCACATAAAATAGTATTATTAAAACACAAAAATTCCCTCAAAAGGAAAGAAAATAATATTGGGATTAGAGATTTGTATAGTTGGAAAGTGTAATGAGGAGGGGTCTTTTTGGGATTTTGGTATTATGGTTGGTTTAAAAGGACCCACTTGGCATGTTCAGCCCCCTTCCCAAGCCCGCTTGCCAAGGGCCAGGTGGGTGTGTGTTGCTCTTAATAATACTTTTTGCTTACGTATGCTAATTTCTTCAAATATTTCTCGAGTCAATCATCATATACAAGTACAACTGTACAAGTATATTTTCGCTCAATTTGCCTTATATATATTAGGTTATGTTTTTTTTGAGTTGTTGTGGTCTAATCTGTTGAAATCTACTATGTTCTGCTAAACTCAAATGTACTCTACTCCACTTAGCATAAATAAACTACTCGTACTCTGTTATATTGTACTGTTTGTTTTGTACAGAACTCGGAATAACAGGGTTTAACTTATATATGGTCAATTAATATAATTGTTTATAAAGTAATGCATTCAAGTATGTAGCTATCACTTGGATCAAAGAATGAAGTCACTCCATCGATAGTTTTATATGTTGTACCATGTGAGTAATATTTATTTGGTTTGTAGAAAGTTCACATTGTGTGTATATGTGTATCAAGGTATTTTACATCTAGCAGATTGACTTTGTGTCACTTAACATAGGTAATTATAATACATGGCTTCTATTAGAGATTGCTTATGACTTGTATCTTTAATTTGAAATGATGAATATATTGCATTTATTGTAGGAAGATCATATTATGTGTCGTGTGAACCTATGTGATTGTACAAAATAACTAGTTATAGTCTTTTGATTCTAGTATTACTTATAAGTTTCTAGTTCACTATGACCTAAAATCTTACAAAAAAAAAAAAAAAAGGGAATATATCGTTTGATCACTATATCATATATACATAGATAAAAAGAAAGAACAATCTGATTTCAAATAAACCCCATATTTACAAGTTACATTATTTAAAATTTCATGGAAATATATTTTTTTCATCCCAAAATGTATAGCTTATATTACGGCAATTGTACAATACAACTATAAGTCTGAAATGTACTAGTGTCGATTGTCAATTACGCCTAACAATCAGAGGTCAAAGGCCAGACCTAATACATGAGCACCAACTCCTACTACCTAGGTTGAATCGGTTGCCCTAACAATAGTAACATATACTCTAAACACCTTAATCTTTTGCTTTTGTACTCTCCCTTTTTCTTTTTTAAAAAAAAAACAACATATTTGACTTGATCGTTCAAGAGGCAATTAAAAGCTTTTCCTTAGGAGAATTAAATTTCATAGGTCTTGAACACCTGAATATCCAACGAGGTACTGTAAGTCTGTAAGGGTCATAGTTGTCTTCCTACCACGATCCGTTGAAATTCTCCCCTATGTCATTTTTATTCTTCCCTCCTCTCCACCTTGTTTCTTAAAAACACTGCTAAATTTTGCTATACAAAGGTAGCAATATAATAACCTTAAATAGATGCTAAAAGTTGCTAAGCACGAGATCAGATTGGGCTGTAGCACAATGCGTAAGTGTAGAGTGTTAAATGGTGCTTCCTAGCCAGACACAACCATGCCTAAGGATAAGGCGTAAAAGCACCAAGCTTTTATAAACAATTATTGTTGGCAATTGAGGTTAGCCCTTTTCTTTGCCTTATGGACAAAAACAAGGCAATGCAAGCGAATCCATGGCACCACAAGGCCAATCCAAGGCATCATAAGACATGGTAACATAGGATGGGAAAAGGCATAAACGAGATGATTCTGATCGAGCATCAAGTAGGCCCTCTCAAGGCGGCCTTCTTGGAATCTACGAATAACCTTGATGCCTAATCTTGTCCGTTAAAAAATGTATTGTTTTCTAGAAGCCAAATTTAAAGACTATATACACAAAATTGGACCAATTTTGAAGGTTTGAAGAATAGTGTTGAAAAATTTCCAGATTCTTGAAGATGCATCCTAAGGTCATATAATGTTGTTTGGAATGAACCACATAAGGTCATTAATTGATCACATAAAGCCATGTAGCGACTTTGAAACAATGAGAAAAGCATTATATTGTATACGTAAATGATTAAATAAATAATTTAAAAGAAAAGTGGACGGTTCAAATTACCCAAATGACTTCCCTGGGTTTCATGTGGTATATTATATTGGAAGCAATCCAACTTTTAGCATCTAAAACTAAATGCTATAAATCCACGTTTCTAGACTAGTAATATTTTGGAAGTTTTGGGGCTTGCTC